TGTATATAGAAATATCCCATTGGAATAATATAACTAAAAAGAAGCATAGTGTATGTAGCATAAAGCGTTGTGTCACTGTCCACGGCAAAATAGTGGTGGAGTATCAACGATATCTCAGACCGATGCCTCGACGCCAATAGAACAATAGAAAAGTAAGAAAAGTAAGGTTAAGACAGAATAAGTCTGAAATGAAGTAGACACCCCGAAATAAAATAAAATAACCGAGATAAAAATTTGAGGCTTGTTCACGTAAAGTCATAATTCCCGTCTGAGGGACTTCCATACTCGAACTTGGAGAGTAATTCAGCATCATGCTGCAACTCGTGTGGAGGTGGGTTCACAAGTCCAAGCACATCTTGTCGAAATGGGTCTGAGCCGTCATCTACCATCATTTGATAGGCATTGCTGGCTGTATGATAACGCATTGCATCGTCAAAGCTTGACATGCTGAGATTGTGCGGGCCCGGTGCGAACTGGCCCGTCATGGGGTTATGTTGCTGGTAGCGTCGTAGCTGTTGATGTAGTTGCATGATTTGGGGGTCGAGAGGCATGGGTTGGAATCCAGCCATAGGGTGCACTGTGCCGGGCATGGCTGCAGGAATTGGTTGGTGCATAAGAGGGTTGTAGCTGGGAGGCTCATCGGGTGCTTCATCCATCGCCTGCGGGACATTGGCCGGTTCCTTCGGGGGTTGTTCGATTGTGCTATCCATATCCATGCCAGACATTGTTTCCGATGGCGATCGATCATCATCCTTGCTCCCAGGTATGGGGGGAGCCTTCAGAGTTTCTTTGCATTGTGGGCAGTCTCGAATCACGCGATTGACAGTCTCTTTGATTCGTACCCAGTGATATTTTATCGCAATGGCTGCCGTAGTTTTGTTGATTCCGGCATGTTGTTTGAGATGAACTTCTTGGGCGATATCGTACTGCTGTTGCGGGTCTGACACCACCTCTTTATCCTTCAGCATCAGCCTCTCGGGCTCCCCATCTTCCCCGCTAAGAAGTTTATAATGAGTCGCCGCACTGCGAAGTCGACTCTTTTCCGCCCGATCAGCACCACGAGGGTACTTCCCGTGCTTCAAATAATAACGGATTTTCTCAAAACGATCCTGGGACACAGAGTCCTCGCCATCCAAACTGAGACCTCTGCCATAGATGATTGCATCAACAAACTCTCCAGGTTGGGATTTGATACTGCCTCCACCTGGGACTCGGCCAATCCGTTTGAAGCCAAGGGAATCCCACAGGCGACATGATGCAACGTTGGATTCATATACCAAGTTAAAGACTGCATATGTATATCCCTAGCAAACATTAATTTAGAGCCCGTTTGAAGCGACTGCAGTCAAGAACTCACCAGTCGAGGGGCCCACTCCAAATAAGATTCGCCCATCAATCTACCCACACCCTTGTTTCGAGCAGCATCAGTGACGATGAAAGTGCCATTGCAGACATGACTACTACGGCCAGGGTAATTAGGCCGAATGTGGAAGCCACCTAGACAGATCTTGGTCCAATTGGCTCCAGCACGGTCCATGGTATGGGTCTGCTCTGCACTCTCGATGTCGCCAGTAAGCATGACCACACCAAAGTTCGAAAACCAATATCGTCCAAATTGGGCCAATGGAATGGGCTCTGTCATAGCATATGTATCTCCCTTTTCAATTTCTTTGTTGAATTGATCAGAGAGATACTTCATTAGAGCCCGGGGTACTTCCTCTGCTGAGGCAAAAGGGACCAGGGTCGCAACCGTAACCCGATCTCGCAGAGTTACTTGTCGCGGAGCCAGAGCAAGCGGATAATCTAGCTCAGGGCCCGATGGAACGAGCTCTGAATCCCCATGAACTTCAGACATGGTAAGGGTTGTCAATCACACTATTTGACATGTTAGTTGTCTGCATTCTATTCCCATATCTTTCCACAAAGTCTCATAGGTGAATACGAGTATAGCAATAAAACAAGGGCTACAAGATAGTGAATTCAGTAGGGGGTCTGTTCACTGACATTCTGGATTGCTTCTAGAAGCCCTCGATCGCACTTCGAGGACCGCGTGAGTATTCTCGAGTCCGGAATGGCCGCAACGCAAGTCGAGAAGTCGTGGTCCTTGCTGACTCAGTGGTTCCTGATTATATAACATACTTTATTGTTGCCTGGTTTTTCCGGTCTATAATGAACTAACAATGTATGTTGTACATAGTTAACTAATTAACTATAGCCGATCTAAGTACCATATAGACTCTAAGTGGAGAATATTGTTGTGGACAAATTCTGGTGTAGCTGATTTTCGGTGGATCAGGATAATTGTATTGGTCCGTCGATAATTTCATCCTGCGCTACGGAGATGGTGGGGAAGATGCAAGTTTTGGTTTTGGGCCAGCTGAGCCGTCTGGCGTTATGTACGGTGTAGGAAGTGATGGCCCCCGGTCAGAATGGTAAGAGTTTTCGGGCCTACAGAACTAGGCTTCTCTTCTGCGTAGCACGCCATATCACAACAAATTTACAGTCTATAACTATATAAAACTCCGCAATGGCAGAGCGTCCCCAATACTTCGAGAATACGTTGACCCCGCTCCCAATAAATCCGACCACTCTTTTTGAGAGTCTCCAAGAGCTTCGTACTGCCACTCACAATGGTGCCGAGTTGATACAACAGAACACTGTCTTGCCTGAAACTTGGGGCCCAAATGGCATGTTTAAAGCTTTCCCCGGTATTTCAAGCTCCAGTCCGACCTCTCAAAAACCTCCATTTAACCACTCAATAAAGGCGTTGCTCTTGCATTCCTACGCCTAGACTATCAGTCTTCAGTTCTAGGAAATCACAAGACTGCTTCTCTTGACTATCGTCATTACGCACTGCAACGGATTCCATCAACCCTCCCAGACACTCCTCTGCTAGCCTCCCGATTGTCTCCAATTGGCTCATCTTCGCCTATGACTGCTGTCACTCTACGCATTTTAGGTACTCTTGCGAAGAATAATTGGCAAGAAAGCACCAATGTCAGGATCGCAAGGGAGGATATCACTTGCCTTCACGATGCCATGCAATGGGCGCTAAAGAACGAGCCTCTTGTCATCCATGATGGCCGAAAGATGGGTGGAGATGAAATGTTGTTTGGCCGAGCAGGACTTCTTTGGGCCCTTTTGAACGTTCGTGCCCATCGTTTTGACCAAGAGACCCAGGAAGTTCTATCACCTGTACTGGGGGCAATTCCTGAGTTGATCCGAGCAATTGTCAATGCCGGGCAACAAGGATCTAAGGAATACACCGAAAAGAATGGAGCCCAAGACGCACATCCATTGATGTATGCATGGATGGAGGGTCATTATTGTTTTGGGGCGTAAGTGGATATCTCTAGCCATTTTATACTCGTATAAGGTCGCTAACAGACGATACATAGGGTCCATGGAATAAGTAAGTTTGCAGGCGATTACTTGGGCTTTACAAAAACAACACTAATATGTGATTTAGCCGGTATTCTAACCATCCTACTCTCATGTAACCCCGAAGAGCTTACAGATTATCTGCCTGTAATTGGCAGTACTATCACTGCACTCTGTAAGCTATCTGTGGCTAGTAATGGCCATCTCCCCATGACACTGCCTCCATTTGGCTCTAGGCGGAACTCGGAGCTAGTTCAACTATGTCACGGGAGCCCAGGACTGTTGATCCTCCTAGGAGCTGCCTTGAAAAACAAGTCCTTAACCCGCGCCCACTGGGATCCAAGTTGGGATCAAGCCATATACTTGGGCACTGAGCGTGTGTGGGACGAAGGCCTGCTTTCTAAGGGCGGCAGTTTGTGTCATGGCGTGTCAGGCAATGCATGGGCATGGCTTCTCCTTCATGATTGCTTTGAATACCATTCAGAGATTTTGAACGATGCCCGGACACATTATCTCCAGCGGAATCAAATATCGACACTTCCAAATGCTAAAGTGAGCCAGGAACTCACCAGTGACTTCTTCCTCTCCAAGGCACTTGCGTTCATGTTGCATGCACGTGAGACTAAGCCATACAATAAGTCGCCCGCATCTTCCGACAAGGACTATCGCATGCCTGATGAGCCTTATGGTTTGTTTGAAGGTCTTGCAGGTAATGTTTGTGCGTGGGCTGAGACGTGCGCGGTGGTTCAAGCCAGGCTACGCAAGATGGAACTTGTTGAGCAGGGTGTATGCGCTACATCTGGTTTATCACGAGACCCAGCATTCCGGGATGCTTTCTATAGACAATTGGGCTTTCCAGCTCTAGGTGGAAATGGGGCAACGGGTATTTTCTAAACAGTCCCCTTTGGCTATCCCCCACGTGTTCATATAGTTGGCTTATTCAGTGACGTCATATGCTGGTGAAATTACACCCTTTCCCTAGATATAACCAGAAATGCAAAAATAAGAGAAGCAATATAAAATTAGAGGATTTAGAATCCTAGAACCAATGATTAATCCTAAAAGGCTGTCGCAAAACTGTGGCTGAGTCAACTCATGGGGCCAAACTCACCAGATTTCTACCATCGTAAAATCCACGTCCTTGATGGAATTCACAAAATATGGTAAACATGGATTTCATTCCGCCTTCTTATAAATCCGCAACAGACAGAGATGCTTGGACAATTATTGCTCGCTATATTCCTTCCAGTGACCTATGCGCTGCATCTCTAGTCTGCCACAGATGGCATGGTCTATTTATGCCCTTCCTCTGGGGTGATCCGGCATCCCACTTTGGTACAGATAATGATGCAGTATACGGCAAGTCACCTTATAAACCGCGTGATTGCTTAAAAAGCAATACCTAACTAGATCACACAGTCGCCCTCACTCGATTTCGAAGAACACTCAAATACGCCCGACAAGAGGTTCGGGCGTTAACCCATACCCTTCATCTCCCACCCGCTCTTTCTGAGATATATGGTGGTCCACGAGCGGGCTGGTTGAGGGACATCCTCGAGTGCCTGCCATGTCTGCAGTGTCTCATGGTGTCGAAATTGCCTTTTTTTGATCACCATGCCATGACAGCGTTGAAAACCGACGAGAGAGCCAGCCAGTATAATATACGGCTCTTGTTAGCCGAACGTGAGCCCAATACTACTTCTGCAAGCCTCGCAGAGACTCTCTTCTTGTTTCCGGCATTGACCTACCTGGATCTTTCGTACACCACTCCAGCACGAGACCGGAATGTACTGTCTACACTAGCTCAAATGCCGTTCCTCCGGGTACTTAAATTGCGTGGCATTGGGCTGAAGGATAATGATGCTGAATTTCTTGCAAATGCGATTGGACGGCGAGTCCGTTGTCTGGATTTGAGAGACAACAGGCTTACTGACATAGCAATCCACTCTCTGTTGCAGGCATCATTTCTCCCGCCAAACGGGACGGAAATACAACGAAATCCCAGGCAGGCTACTGCTTCGCCAGACCCCTTCTCCCACTTTGCAATTAATGAGTCTGACTCGGACTTTTTCAAGCGGCCAGACTTAGATGAGCAGTTTGTGAAGCTTCTTGCTCAACCTGTTTTATACCATCCATGGGTTGAAGACTTACCGCATACGGGAATCACCCATCTTTATATTGCTGGTAATCAAATATCCGTGGAGGCTGTGGCGAGTCTTTTGCTCTCAACCCGACTACATGCTTTAGATTTCGGGAACATAAAAACTCCAGATAAGGCACACCAGACTCATCATTATGGGAAGGAGAAATATCTTGGAGCTGAGAATCTAGTCCCGATGTTGGGTAAGGTTGCAGGCGACAATTTGATATATTTTCGAGGGCATCATGCTGTTCTCACTGGCCAACCACCCGCTAAAGACTCTGTATCCAATACTGAGCTTCTTCCAGAGCTTTCAGGACAAGAGACCCCGCGCGAAGTCGAGCAATTTGAGCTGGATGGTTCCCGGCAGGTTTATGAGTTGCCCGAAGACGTAAGGCCTGTCTTTGAACTCGCGGATACATCAACAACCGACCCAATTAGCCCCTCTTCGGCCACGAAACAGCTCAAAACTTCCCAGCCATTGACAGCCTGCGAGGATGAACATGCACCGGCAGTCAGGCGTGGGCCAGCTTTTGCCCCGGAGGTTGTACAGCCCATCCCTGTACACAGTAGCGCCAATGGAGGTATGATCTTCGGTGCTTCTAAGACAAACACCTGGGGTACAGATCAGACTGATTCAAACACATTGCCGTCCATTGCAATGTCTTCAGACTACGACACGCTTACGACAGACTTCTCTCTTCAGGCAACCTTGCAATGCAGCTCCCCAATCTCATCGAGCGATCCTCTCGCACAAATAGTACAGGAATTATTAGCAAAGCGACCACACAATCAATCACTCCCACTCCGAGGAGGGAAAGACAGCTGGTTTCCTTACCTACACCCATCACATATTCCTCACATGGAAACTTTGGTACTGACAGATGTACCCTCGCATGTGACGCCCAACTCCTCCATACTCTCTGCGCTCACTCGGTTCATAACTGCATGCTCAAACGAAGCATTGCTAGCAACTCTGCAAGCAGGATCGGACTACTCGCTCCCACCAGGGCAAGCGCGCATGCAAGCCGAGCAGCAGCGGTCAAGGTCTCTCTTTGGCTTGCGTCGTCTAGTACTCGAAATCACACCTGTCGATACCTCTAAACTTACATCATGGAAAACCGGGAATCAATACAATTCCACAGGGTATTCAAGCACGGGTGACCGCGACTCGGAGAATCTTTGGTCTGCAGCTGCAAATGATTTCAGCTTCTTTGGCGAAGAAGAGTGTGGCGTCCCTGAAAATGATCCTGGTAAATACTTTCCAATGGCTGCGCTTAACGAAAAGGTCTCGCTTATACCGGAGGATGACTCGTTGCATTCATCTGATTCTCCTCAATTTGGGCGTCACCTTCCACAAAGCGCCAAGACCCGGGGTCCGCCAGTGACTGCTAAAGATAGGAAGCAGCAGTGCCAAGTCCCAATGATTGACCTTGTGGCAGAGCTTGCGGCCTTTCGTCGCGCCAAGAAGGCCGAGTATGAACAAGTGGTTCGTCGTGAAAAGGGACGGCGAAGCACAACTGGCACGGGTACTTCCGGCCTACTTATGCCATCATCGCCCCATATTTTTCTATCACGTTACGTCGAAGGTCATTGGAAGGGAGAGGTGAAGATCGTGCGGAACCCGACGCCAAAAGTGCGGACCGGAACGGTAGACATGTATGGAAACTATTTCGAGAAGGGGTACCTGTACCCATGAATTTTTGTACTTAGCAAGATACCCAGGAATATGCACCCCAGATACTTGAAATTTACGTCATGCGACCAGGTTTTGTAGGAATTTTTGATATTTTCTAAGTCCTCATTTGGACCTGAACCATCCTTCCTCCCAGTCATAACAAGCCGTCGTCAATTGGGCCCATAAACATCACAATGCTAAAGAGACATCCAAACTGCCTTCATCAGACAATTGGTGCCGTCTTTTTCATCCTCAGTGTAGGGGCATGGCCGGCAGTTTCGGGACCGAGCATCACCCCTGCGATCCGGTCAAGAAGAACACCAATGCGAAGAGTGAAGACAAAATAAAAGAATTCATTTCAAACTAGTTCAATTTTATTTTGTTCATCATGCGACATTCATCTCCTTACAGAGCCTTGGCGGCAGTAGGGGGCTGGAGCTTCTTGCCGTCCTTGTTGAAGCGAATACGAGGAGGGGGAGCACGGTTGCGGCGGCCTTCGCGGGAGCGAACACTATTGACAAGAAATTAGCATATGAAAGGCGATGGGTGTCGAGAGTAATCGGTGTAAGCGTACCGGACAATCTTGCCGTGAATGGCGCAGGACACGCAGTACTGGAGCTTCAAGTACATCTTGGGGACGGAGTACTCAGCGAAGACGGAAGCCTCGGAGATATCACCTGTAAAGCAGGAATCGTTAGTTGCACTGGTTCGTCTTGGAATTCCTCGAATAGGTCGCAGCCATAGATATGGGATCTTGTCGTATATTCGAGGTATCGGGAGAGTTGTCACGTACGGATGGCAGCGGACTCGACCATGTTGCGGATGGTGAAGCGCTTGATGGCCTTGTCCTTGGGGGTGCAGCGAGCGCAGTTGGAGCAACGCACAGGCTTGACGTGGCCGCGGCCATTCTTGTTGCGGCCGCTATCAAATCAATTAGTTACCGTGCCCCTGAAGTTGCGAATCAGTCGAAATCCAGTCTCCCATTCTTCCGGCAATGTGCGTAGGTCGCGGTTTTCGATGAATTTTGAGATGTATGTCGTGTGCGCTTCCGTCGGCGTCATTGCGGAGATGTCGAATGGGATACTGTTTCGCCGAGATGGGGGGTTTGGTTGGTCTTACTTGTTCGCCCTCTTCTTGACCATTTTGACGGTTTGTTCTGTGGATGGTTAGGTGTTGGTCTGTGGGTGAAGGGGGGGAGATAGCGTACGGTTGACTTGTCGGGAGTGGGTTGTCGAAGCTCGCTCACACAAAGTCTCTTTCGGGATGGATTGGATTCCGTTGTGCGGGTAGCCCTAAGCCCTTAAGCGAGATGGGTCACGGGTCTTATGCCTTAAGTCTCAGGCAATAATTCCTCGAGGATCACGTGGATCACATGGGCAGAGTCACGAGTAGTGTTCCGCCTAATTAGGCCTAGCCCCCGGATCGTACCGTGTCACTCAATGTTTATGGCTCCTCATCCCCAACTAACGAAGAAACACCCCTGTCGGGATTGACTATTGAACTGCCCATTTTTCTTCTCCTTCCCAGGAATTCTCCTTGCTTTTTTCACTCCCATACTAGTCTCACAACTTGACATCTTTGTTTTTGTTTGTGTGATCTCCCTCCCTTTCTTTTTATTTTTATTGAGACTTTCCCCTTTCGGCATTATTATGTCGGCCACAGGTACTTTTCGGGGAAAGCCCAATCAGACCATCGGGAGAGGAAGGCTGCCCGATTTTGGAACCGATCCCAGTGCTTCCCACATCCCCCGACCCCGGCCAGAATCTTCTGTTACAAACAATACCCCCTCCAGCGAAGTCGGAAGTGGCACAATGAGCGCCGCAAGTAGCAGACAGCGACAGAACCAGTCGAAACGTGATGAGGTACGTCATGGCAGCCCGCGGGAGTGATCTCCTGATGCTCAATTTGAGCCTTGGATTTTATCTAACCTCGACACAAGGCTATTCGCCGCAAAATGGAGGCCGACCTCAGCAAAAAGAGGAACGCTCCGGCAAAATCGAGGAGCTCCCGCAAAGCCCCTCCCGGCACCGTGCTCGCCCTGAAGCCCAGTCAGGCCCTCCAGATTAAACCCGCCATGAGCATTGCGGAGGCTGCTCAACTTATGGCCGCCAAGAGAGAGGACTGTGTGTTAGTCACCGACGATAATGAGCGCATTGCAGGTATCTTTACTGCGAAGGATCTGGCGTTCCGAGTCGTCGGAATGGGCCTGAAGGCGCGAGATGTCTCTGTCGCTGAGATCATGACCAAAAACCCGCTGTGCGCGAGAACGGACACCAGTGCGACCGACGCGCTCGACCTCATGGTGCGGAAAGGATTCAGACATCTGCCGGTCATGGATGAGAACCAGGATATCTCTGGTGTTTTGGATATTACCAAGTGCTTCTACGATGCTATGGAAAAGTTGGAACGTGCGTACAGTTCGTCTCGCAAGCTTTACGATGCGCTGGAAGGTGTGCAGACAGAGCTTGGCTCTAGTCAGCCTCAGCAAGTCATCCAATATGTGGAGGCGTTGCGATCGAAGATGTCCGGCCCGACCCTTGAGACCGTCTTGGATGGCTTGCCGCCCGTCACTGTCTCCGTCCGCACCACCGTCAAGGACGCTGCAGCTCTGATGAAGGAAAATCACACCACTGCGCTGTTAGTCCAGGACCAAGGCTCGATCACTGGTATCTTCACTAGCAAGGATATTGTCCTTCGCGTTATTGCTCCTGGCCTCGATCCATCAACTTGCAGCGTTGTCCGTGTCATGACTCCTCACCCTGATTTCGCGCCGTCGGATATGAGCATTCAAGCCGCGCTTCGCAAGATGCATGGTCAGTCATTTCAATCGGCAATTGAAACCAAAGCATGCTAACTCTACAACAGATGGCCACTATCTCAACCTGCCCGTGATGAATGAGGGAGGTGAAATTGTTGGCATGGTGGATGTGTTGAAACTTACTTATGCCACTCTTGAACAGGTATGTCGATAGTAACAGATCTGACGTGCAAATATTTTGACTGACATATTTCAGATCAACACTATGTCAACCCAAGATGAGGAGGGCCCTGCTTGGAACAAATTCTGGTTATCGATGGATCACGAATCAGACTCTATGGTCTCTGGCGGCCACAGCCAGCAATTGAATACCCCACACCGCTCAGTTATCAGCCCCGATCTCACTCGCTCAGGCTGCGACAACAGTCTTCTTCCCAACGACTCAGCATCGCACCACGGCGACGATCATCATTCCGAGGTGGTTTCTCAGCACCAACCAGCAGAACCAGCTGCCCCTACTCCATTCCCCTTCAAGTTCAAGGCCCCTGGTGGCCGAGTGCACCGTGTGAACGTCCTTACCACCAATGGCGTTACCGACCTTGTGGCGCAAGTCACAGCGAAACTTGGCAAGGAAGTCGAGGCTGTTGGTGGCGAGGCTACCGTTGAGGAGGGTCGGCTGAGCAACACAGGGTATGCCCTCAGCTACATGGATAACGAGGGTGATACCGTCTCAATCACCACGGATCAGGATATGACGGATGCTATCGATCTGGCCCGCCGTACTCACCGCGACAAGGTCAATTTGTTTGTCCATGACCCCGCCCAGCCACCCATCCCTGTTGAACCTCAACACGTTAAGATTGTGACTCCTGTCGAAGAGCAAAGCGTTGTTGAGGAACTTGTATCACAAGAATCCCCCGTGAGCAAGGTCCTGCCCCAGCAGCAAGCCATGCCCTCTCACGCACCAGAGGAGCAATTGATTGCCGGCGTTCCTAATGACTTGCTGCTTCCCGGTGCTATTGTCACATTGGCTGCAGTTATTGCGGGTGTGTTCATTCTGAGCCGCCCCAGTGGCCGGTAAAAAAAAATATTTGGCCTTTGGTCTATTCCCGAAACCCTCTCTTTCTCGCCAAATACTTCACTTTGTCCGATTCAGCTTGACTATTAAGCATTTTGAGAAAGCGTAGTAGATTCTTTTTCTGTCAGGAGTGTCGCATACCCGTTCTTTTCTCTCTAATATCGATATTCCGTGTCGCGTTCAGATACCGCTGTTCGTGTGAGCAGTTGCGGCCCTAGTTTAGCCTTCAATGCAAATAATTGTTCGAGATAAATCCTGGTCTAATGATCCTATATATAACGTATGAATTACCGTCGGTCTACAAAATAAGTAAACCTTCCACTGAGTTAGCACTATTACAGTCCTTTCATAGTTATCCCTGTTCGAATCTAATTGGCCTTGTGGCCTGAAATTGCCGCATTTGGTTTAGCGCCCAAATGCGATTATCGTCGTTATGGGCTCTTTATGTTGTTCTTAGATTATTCGTACAGTTAATTGCTTTTTTTTATGTAAAGAAAGAATCGGTTCAAAGACCTCGATATCATCTATTGAATTTCTTTTCCTCTTGTTGTGTGATTAGACTGGCATTTCTATTCTTCACTCCCAAGCCTATCCATCTATCGCTCTCCTAATCAGAAATTCTTCTTTTTTCCCTCTCTCCCCGCCCCACCAAAAACAAAACTCCTCCCCTTCGTTCCACCCCTCTATCCCCACCAAATAACTTCTACGAGGGTTGAAAGATTGGGTTGCTTGGATCGTCTGGAACTTGGGAACAGACACGCCCAACATGTCCCTCCTACCTCCCGAAATCCACACCGCGCTTTCTCAGCTGCTCCGCGCCTTGAGCACACCCGACAACACCGTCAGATCCCAGGCGGAAGATCAGCTTAACAATGACTGGGTTCAGAATCGACCAGATGTCCTACTGATGGGATTGGCGGAACAGCTTGGCGGCGCAGAGGACACAATAGTAAGTTGCACTGGACTCCAGGGGTGCAGTTGCTTGAAAGAGAGGGGTGTTGCAAAACGACCGGCAACCAACCCAACACCCGAGTTTCACTGTGGTTTGAGATAAAAGCTAATGGGAAACTCTTACCAATAGACGCGTGCTTTCTCCGCTGTGCTTTTCCGAAGAATTGCAACAAAAACCCGAAAGGATCCCGCCTCAGGTGACAACAAGGAGATTTTCTCATGCCTCCCCAACGAGCAGCGAATTGTTATTCGTGAGAAGTTGGTGGCCTGTCTGACGAGCGAGACTGTCACCGACGTACGCAAGAAGATTGGAGACACATTGGCTGAGGTGGCTCGGCAATACACCGATAATGGTATGCGATTCGAACTACCTTTGACGAAATAATGGTTGTTGGTTCTGACAATTTCACCTGTGATTGTAGGCGAACAGTGGCCTGAACTCCTCGGTGTGCTTTTCCAGGCAAGCCAGAGTCCTGACTCGAGCCTTCGGGAAACCGCATACCGCGTGTTCACGACCACCCCCGGGATCATTGAGAAGCAGCACGAAGATGCTGTCGTGGAGGTTTTTACCAAGGGTTTCAAGGACGACAATATTTCCGTATGTCGACATCTGGCTGTGCCCTTTGAACTCAACTCTGACCATTTCATCAGGTTCGGATTTCCGCTATGGAAGCCTTTGCTTCACTTTTCCGGTCGATCTCCAAAAAGTCCCAGCCTAAATTCTTCGGCCTCATGCCAGACCTTCTCAACATCCTTCCTCCTCTCAAGGAGGCCTCTGAAAGCGAGGAACTGTCCTCGGCACTTCTCGCCTTGATCGAATTGGCTGAAATCAGCCCGAAGATGTTCAAGCCCATGTTTAACAACTTGGTTAAGTTCAGCATCAGTGTCATTGGCGACAAGGAGCTCAGCGACCAGGTACGCCAGAATGCACTCGAATTGATGGCTACCTTCGCCGATTACGCCCCGAATATGTGTAAGAAGGAGCCGGACTTCGCACAGGAAATGGTCACACAGTGTCTGAGTCTCATGACTGATGTCGGTGCGGATGACGACGATGCGGAGGAATGGAACGCATCTGAAGATGTAAGTGTTACATTTTGGTCATTATGATCGACATCCCACTGACTAGTAACAGCTTGAACCTGAAGAGAACGATCTCAACCACATCGCTGGTGAACAGTGCATGGATCGTCTCGCCAACAAACTGGGTGGGCAGGCCATCCTTCAACCCGCGTTCTCTTGGATTCCTCGCATGATGTCGTCAACAAACTGGCGCGATCGCCATGCTGCTTTGATGGCCATCTCCGCCATCTCTGAGGGTTGTCGCGACCTAATGGTCGGTGAGCTGGACCAAGTTCTAGCGCTTGTTGTTCCTGCCCTCCAAGACGGCCACCCCCGAGTCCGTTATGCAGGCTGCAATGCTCTCGGCCAGATGAGTACCGACTTTGCCGGTACCATGCAGGAGAAATACCATGAGATTGTCCTTACTAACATCATTCCCGTTCTCGCCTCCACCGAGCCGCGTGTGCAGTCCCATGCTGCCGCTGCTCTCGTCAACTTCTGCGAGGAGGCGGAGCGCAGCACCTTGGAGCCATACCTTGGAAACCTGCTCAGCCATCTCCTAGATCTCTTGCGCAGCCCTAAGCGTTATCTGCAGGAGCAGGCGCTGTCCACCATCGCCACCATTGCCGACTCTGCCGAGGCCGCTTTCGATCAGTATTATAGTACTCTAATGCCTCTGTTGCTCAATGTCCTCAAGGAGGAACAGGGTAAGGAGTACCGCCTTCTTCGTGCCAAGGCCATGGAGTGTGCTACTCTGATCGCACTTGCCGTTGGCAAGGAGAAGATGGGTCAAGATGCCCTGAACCTTGTGCAGATTCTTGGCAATATTCAGCAAAACATCACCGACGCCGACGACCCACAGTCACAGTACCTGCTTCACTGCTGGGGCCGCATGTGCCGCGTTCTCGGCCAAGACTTCGTGCCTTATCTCCCCGGTGTTATGCCTCCTCTTCTGACTGTGGCTGCTGCCAAGGCTGATATTCAGCTGCTGGATGACGAGGATCAGATCGAACAGGTTGAGCAGGATGATGGCTGGGAGCTGGTGCCGCTCAAGGGCAAGATTATCGGTATCAAGACCAGTGCTCTTGAAGACAAGAATACTGCTATCGAATTGATCACGATTTACGCCCAGATTCTTGAGGAAAATTTCCAAAATTACGTCCTGGAAACCATGGAGAAGATCGCGGTTCCCGGTCTTGCCTTTTTCTTCCACGACCCCGTTCGAGTGTCAGCTGCCAAGCTGATCCCTCAGCTACTGAACTCCTACAAGAAAGCACACGGTGGCCAGTCCCCAGCCTTCGCTGAAATGTGGAACAAGGTTGCAGAGAAGATCATTGAGGTCCTGAGCGCTGAGCCGACAGTTGACACACTGGCTGAGATGTACCAGTGCTTCTATGAGTCAGTAGAGGTAGTTGGCAGAAACTCTCTCACCCCCCAGCACTTGCAGGCGTTCATCGAATCGGCCAAGTCGACCCTTGAGGATTACCAAATGCGCGTGAAGCAACGTTTGGAGGAGCAGGCCGAGCTCGAAGATGGTGATGAGGAGAACCTGGACTTCGAGTACGCCGTGGAAGACGACCAAAACCTATTAAGCGATATGAACAAGGCATTCCACACTATCTTTAAGAACCAGGGTAACTCGTTCCTGCCAACCTGGCAGCAATTGATGCCATTCTACGACGCTTTTATCACGAGCCAAGACCCGACACAACGGCAGTGGGCTCTTTGCATCATGGATGACGTGCTTGAATTCTGCGGCGAAGAATCGTGGGCATTCAAGGATCATATCATGCAGCCCTTGGCTTCCGGTCTACGAGATGAGAATGCCGCCAACCGTCAGGCGGCAGCGTACGGTGTGGGTGTGGCCGCGCAGAAGGGCGGTGCCGTCTGGAGCGATTTTGTGGCTGCCAGCCTTCCCAGCTTGTTCCAGGTTACACAGCATGCGCAATCCCGCACAGAGGAGAATGTGTTCGCGACCGAGAATGCGTCTGCTAGTATTGCCAAGATCCTGCACTACAACCCGTCCAAGGTTCAGGCTCCTCAGGATGTTGTGACCAACTGGATCGAGACTTTGCCCATTACCTACGACGAGGAGGCTGCTCCCTACGCCTATTCCTTTATTGCACAGTTGATTGACCAGTACGTTTTCTTGAGCAACCCCCTTTCCCTTCAAACTTATACTAATATATTACTAGGCAAAACCCGGCTGTCTTTGCCAAGGCTGACCGTGTCTTCGGCTTCATCGTGCAGGCACTCGAGGCGGCTACCCTACAGGGTCAGACCGCTGTCCGGGTGGCCACATCTGCCAAGCAGCTGGTGGCAGTGACCGGCGCAAATGCAGACCAGATTCTGGCTTCTGTGGACCCGGCCAGCCAGGAAAGAGTGCGCAAGTTCTTCCAATAAAGCTCAGACAATCTGTTTCATATCCGGCAGAGCTTTATCCCCTTTTTTTATTATTTCCCAAATCATTCCCCTCGGTCATGTGAAATCTGATGTTACCTGAACCCCCGACACGTTTCCTTAATTCTTAGCTCCTACGTACGAATGCCATGAGCTTTAGACGTTGGATTCCACGGTGTGCGCGATTTCCATGTAGATCAAATTTCCACCTTTGCTGTGTCTCAACTATCATGTAAGAAACAAAATGAAGCCAAGTTTATCTACAACTTCGACACCCTCTGGATTTCATTCGCGACCACCTCCTCCAGCCCCATCATCTTCGGCTCCCCAATCAGCCCATTAGCCCGCTTCGCATACAGCGTCCCACCTTCACCCCAGATCCGACGCAAAGTGAACACAGTAGCCCCGGGATTCCCAGCCTCCCACGCCGCAGCCTCAGCCTCACGCAACTTCGCTAACGATGTACGAGACACATCCCACGGCTGACCACCAAGCTGGCGCTCAAATTCCGCCTGGATCTGGTCAGGACTCGTGGTAAACGAATTAACACACAAGGCAGCATTGCGCGTCTCAGCCGTAGCATGAAGTAAAGTATTCAAAACGAGAACACCAACACTGGAATAGTCAGCCAATAGTCCATTCATCCCAACACGACAAAACCCAAAAGTCAAAACGGAAAAGGAAAAATAATCTTACTCTTTCATCGTCGTCAAACTAACATCTCCCTTCCCTTCCTCGCCCAGCAAAATAGCCTTTCGCTCTTTAACATCCCACCCACCAGCCGCCTCCATCCCAGGCATGAGATTAAGATACATCTCCGCAAAAGGACCAGTGACTACATATGAATAGGCGAGGTCGTCGCGCGAGATCTCATTCTCAAGATACGCACGCACCTTCAGCTTCTGCTGGTGTGGCTTCTCGTTCGCGGAAGCAGGTCCGTACTTGATATCCGTGCCATACTCGGAGGGCAGGAACCATTTCACAGTGGGGCTGGCGGCTGCAAGTCGGATTAGGGGGATCTGCTGGGCCAGGGTGTTGCGGCCTAGGGCTGAAATCACAGTGTCGATTCCTATTTGGCTTAGTTAGCATTTGGGTTATTTGAGCATGATATGCCATTATGCATGCATGTCATAGAAAAGGAAGGGTTTCGTGCCTTCGTATGCTGCTTTCACGGCATTCTCATCTTCGACATTGCCTACAATGACTTCTACGCCTTGCTCTTTTAGCTTGTTCAGCTGGGAAGTTTTGGTTTCGGCTGTCTGTGGGGAAGTAAATATGGCGATGCGGTTGAATTGGGAGCGCTCGGGTAGGATGGCGTCTAGGATGAATGAGCCGATGTTGCCTGTTGCTCCGAAGAGGAGGATGTTCTTGGCAAGAGACATGGTTGTATATGCAAGTTCTGCTATTAGAAGTAAAGTAGATGTCGGCAGTGTAGCTCTGCAGACCAACTTATGTGAACTGTCTACGTGGGGGGTGTCCACTAAATGACGGGTGGGGGTCCTCCAGGGCTGCTTATCAATCAATTGGGGGATTCTCCCAAGGACAATAGTAAATTGCCATTTTACTCAAGGGTTGTCGGATAGAAGACACGTTGTATATTGCATTTGGGGTTGGAAGGTGGCTAGGTAGGTAGTTGGGATGAAGGTTTACATGTTTGATATTGATATATAGAAGCATTATCATCACCAAAACTAGTAATTAGAAATAGGAAACTTGAGTTAAACTTGAATGAATATTCACTTTCTCTATGTTTATGTCTATTATGGTTCTCTTTCTATAATGATTACCTAGGTAGTCGTGCTCGCTTATATCTACCGATGTGCTCTATAAAATGTGGGGTTGATCCCCAATTTTCGGTATTGGAATGACTCGAAGCTTCTACAAGCCCACACAACTGAACGATAAGTAAATTATTTGGTGAGTTGGCTATTGGAATGGTGCGAGTTTGAGATAGTGATAGAATCAACCCAAAAGTTCATCTTATGCCTCTGAACGCTTAAACAACCATCTCCAAGATCTCCAGTACCTGAGACTTCTCCACCAGTGGGACTGGGTTAGTCTTACACCAACGATCATGTAGGCTATTCTCTGCCAGTGCATCAAACTGGCTCCGCCCCACGTTGACATCACCTAAGGACCGAGGCATTCCCAGCTCGCGGATAATAGCATCCAAAATGTCTCCTAAGTCGGCTGATTCTACGTTGACCGAGCGGGCACGTAGCACGTTTAACACAATCGGCCCTTGCATCAGAAATTGGCGCACGCTGGCTTGTTTTTCACGGTTGGCGTTGTACTTAGCATTGAACTTGCACACAGCCGGGAGCAAGATGCAACTGGTCTCGCCGTGGCCGACGCCTAGTGGACCAAGCTATAAAAATGTTAGTTAGACCCATTGACGTACGGGGCACCATAGGAGGTCAAAAAAATGGAATGCCGTCGCATACTTGATGTGAAATTCCATGACTAGCACCTAGTTCAATCAACCCGCTAGTACAGGCTGCCATAGCATCCACTGATCCAAGTTGGCACTGTAGGTGCGCATCACGGTCTGATCGGTCTTTCTTACAGCGCAAAAGGCCAGGGACCAATAATCCCAGTGCATGCTGAGCCAGTTTGTCCGATGCCGCGGTCGTGCCTGACATGGAACAAAGAGTTTCGATACAATGGTCAATAGCACGAACACCGGTGCTGAGCCAGATTGAATCAGGGGTCGTTTTAGCTAGCTCCGGGTCGAGAATAACGAGCTGAGGTCCACGAGTTGGATGCTGGAAGCTGTATTTGCGCTTTGAGCGGTCTTCCGTGCCGCCGGCAAAGTTGGAGTATTCGGCGGCGGAGAGAGATGTTGGTACTGAAATGATCGGAAGTGTTGGTGCTTTGATATCAAATTGTTTGTTGGGGCCTTCTGCAAGAGTTTCAAGCCCCTCTGGTGTGGTAATTTGGTTCGCAAGTACCTGTAGGGTATGTTAGACTAGGAATGAATATATATGATCTTTCAACGGAGCATAACAAAGAGGTCAGAAGTTTATAAACCAAATCCCCAAAAGTAAAGCATGAAATAAAAAGTTATACTAACCAATGCAATGATCTTAGCACCATCAGTCAAGCTGCCAGCTCCAACGGTCAAGAGTAGATCAGCATGCGCAGTGCTAACTTCTTGTGCAATTTCTAGCACCTCAGACCACAAAGTGTGGCTCCGCATACCGATCCAATGACCAATTAGCTTATCCCCCAGGGCTGTCTCCAGTTGATCCATTACATTGGTCTTTCGTGACAATGAGCCTGAGCAGATAACATACACGCGCGAAGCCTGGAATGTGTCGAGATGACGTACTATGGCTGCAGGAAAGGCGATGCCATAGGAAAGAAGTGGGCGCTCACGGCCTTCAAAAGCAGGTCTAACTATTTCTGACATTGTTGGTAGAGGTAACCTTGGAAGAATAAGATCAAAGGAAAAGCAATGGGAGTTAGGCAGGAAGGTTCTACAGAAAAGTGCCAGGGCGGGGTTTCACCGTTTCGTCTTTCGCCGATTTTGCATATAAAATCGTAAATTGTTTCTTCTTTACTTCTGTTGCTGGCTTGAATGAGGTTAACAAATATTACCTAGTAGCCAGCAATATACTAGGTAACTAACTACATATACACCGGATTTTAGGCCGAGTGAGATGACTTTCCCTTTCCATTTTAGTGCTTACTCTAGCCGCTTTTACTCACTGAGTAAAACTGAGCTGTTTAGATATATAAGTATGCAGATTTCGGCGGTATTATTTAGTATTCTATTTACAACTTAGTAGTATAAATGAAAGTATATACCATATAAGTACTACTATGAATATGATAGAATTAGGTAGCAACCTTTACAATTATCAACCACTACTTTTCTTAGAGAGATTGAAAACCTACAATGTCACTATTACATACTATGATTAATTATAATATAACTCAATTTCTTAAAATTTCATAATATTAATAAAGAAATAGATGATAAAACTAATATTCAGATCTAAACAGTGCTAAATAACAGTAATTGATTAAGATGGCTTAGCAGTTTTATACGTCTAAATTGGGGAAGGTCAACTTTTTCCAATGCAAATGAGGGCTGATGACGGTCGCTCGAGGGCCGCCCTCAAAATGTTTTTAATGAGGTCTACAACATACGTCTCCGTGGCCTGCTTAAGGTCACCTGACCATCCAACATATTGACGACAACACTCCATCGTCACTTCCATTCATCATCAATTCTATTGATTTTCTTTCGTTCTCGGGGTTCTTGACTCTTCCCCTCTCACACGAAAATGGATAAACAAACCCAGACCAGGCGTTGCGATGAAGTTAAGCGACTCTACAAGCTACTTAAGAGTTGCGAATCTTGGTTTCTTTCCCCTAGTGATCTCCAAGGCCTCGGAGTCTATAGCCAGCAAGTTGGCATGATAGGTGACAGCTCTGTACAATTTAATCCATGTTTCTTTCGGCCTTATCCGGAAAAGGTGCTTCAAAAATATCCACTCGATACGGTTTCGATGGCTACGGACCATCCTCCACAGACTCTTCAACGGCTTAATAACCCCCGGGACTTCCAGACTCTATTACGAGAAGTCCAGAATGACCCTAAGGTCGAAAATCCCCTAGAATTCGCTAAATCAAGATGGGATAAATTAACACTTTTATATGGGCCGGATGCCTGGGAAGATCATGCCAGACAGACACGTTGGCATATTCAATCCCAGCAGATGCTTCCTCGGAGAGGGCTTTCCCGGGACTCTACTCTTAGCGATCTAAGATCTATCTGGGAACAGAGGTTAGTGCGCTTTGCTTTTTCTCTGTTACTCTACTGTTTTTAAGGACTAAATATACCAGGAAGAAATGGAAGCATAGCGCTCCTGAACTATGTGGACTTAATGGAAGGAACTATTGGCGTATACTAAGTCTCCGAGAAGATTTTCAGCCAAACTTAAACCCACATGCAATTATGGAACTTTTATCCGATGTTCCTGCAAACCATGCAGAGAATTGCCTTACTCTCCAAGAAGTAAGCGCTGTTGTAACCGTGATGGTTGCTCGAACATCCGATCGGCCGTTCCGTGACCACCCGATCCATCCAGTTAGTATCTTACTTACACTTCCTAGCTACTAGAGATTTCCTAAGCACTCACTTATTTTTTATAGTTATTGGTTCTTTCATACACTGGACAGAAACATGGAAGAATAATTCAAGCTTCATTACATGGAGAAAGCTTGCTTTTGCAATATTCTCAGCTATGGAGTTTTGCGGATGACGAAACGGCACCAGTTGAACTCTTCATTCGTTATGATATGAGCCAGCCAGTTCCGATAGCCTTAGAAGAGCCGAATCCTATTATTGGCTCTCTTGTCGGCCCTGTTACGTCTATGAGCTTGAATTAGCTATTTAATACAGACCCTACCACAAAGTATTATCCGCGACCTAAAATCCGGTACATACAGCTACATGTGTATGTAGTCGATCTACGGGATATCTAGATCTCATAGTACACCCGTGGACAAGGACAACCTTTCTATATGGAGGACTAATCGTCTAGCTAACCGCCCTCAAGCTATGCCAACTTGCATGAAATAAATAGTGTACTATAATTCTAATTCTATCATTATAAGAAAAACATAGTTTGATTCTAGAAATTCACCTGTTGATACATGACGAGTATATGCAGATCATACCACATCACGTGCATCCCCACACTCCATCTCCGTCAATCCTGCCATTGACATTCCTCCAACAAACCAAGCTCAAAATGGCCTCTCTCCGTCAAAACCCATGGCGGGCTTACCAAAGCCTCACCCGACAACAACTCCGCATTACACGCCTCTCCTCCCGACATCTCTCCACCAACCCTGTCCGCTCCAATGCAACCAATAATCCCCTCCGCTCCCGAGCATCCGCAGCGGCGGATCTCCAGCATGCCTCCCAAGCTCAGCGGAAGATGATCCTCTCTGCAGCTGGCATTATCACCTGCGCAGCCGGTCTCTACGGCGTCATCAAGCTAGACCTATTCGGACTGAACGAATTAGACAAAAAAGATGACAAGACCGCCAACTCCGCACCCCCGAAGAACGGCGCAATGCGCATGGACGGACCAACCGGTTTCGCAAACGGCGGCCCCTCATTAATAACAATTCAAGGCCAAGACAAGCTCGAGCAAGTCCCAACAGGAACAAGCACAATCCCCACCTTCCCAAGCACAATCCGACTCCCCTCATCCGAAGCAACAGAAGGCAAGCAAACAGGCGACGACCTAGCCCCATCCACAGGCGAAGAATATCAATTACTAGGCCTTGGAATCCGCACCGTCTCCTTCCTCTCAATCCAAGTCTACGTGGTCGGCCTGTACGTCGCTAAATCCGACATAACCGAGCTGCAACGCCGTCTCCTACGCACCGCAGTCCACCCACCCACCACCGATGCCCACTCCGCCATTTCCGGTGCTGGCGCCGACGCCGCTACTTCTCTCGTCTCACCAGAGCGCCAGCAGCTCAAGGAGCTTCTCCTTGATCCCGAGCACGGCGACGCCGCCTGGTCTGCCATCCTCAAGGATGACGGTATCCGCACTGCATTCCGCATCGTGCCGACCCGTAATACGGACTTTATGCATTTGCGCGACGGCTGGGTGCGTGGTATCACTGCCCGCGCGCAGGCGAAGAAGGCTGCGGGACCGAACGAGTTCCAGGATGAGAGCTTTGGAAGCTCGATGAATGATTTCAAGGCTGTTTTCGGTGCGGGCAAGGGGAAGGCGGTGCCGAAGGGCCAGACGCTTGTTTTGATGCGCGATGCGCACGGTGCTTTGGATGCGATTTTCCAGCCTGGCGCTAATAAGCCGATTAAGTGGATGGGCCGCGTCGCGGATGAGCGGATTAGTCGCCTTGTTTGGTTGAATTATCTGGCTGGCAAACCTGTTTCAAGTGAGGGGGCCCGGGCGAGTATTGTCGACGGATTGATGGCCATTGTTGAGAGACCCCTTGGCACCGTTTCGCAGAAGGTTATCTGATTTTTTTGTATTAACATACCTGTACGTTATTTGGTCGTTTGATTTTTTTGGTTATGTTGGCTCTACAAAATATTCCAGAGCTACATGGCAACGCTCCACTCAATACGCATCTACGCTGGAAGATGGCAGGACTCTCTTGATCCCTCCAGTCTCAAGCGAAGGAAATATTTCCCGCATTTTACAAATCTACTAGACCTAGGAAAGAAGTTTTGGGGGACTAAATAATAAATCAGAGGTAAAGGCTATGTATAAAAAACCTCCTTAGTTTATATTCAAGTCTCGGGCCTCGGAGTATTCTTGCTTGTGTGACATCACCGCTTAGATAGCGCCAGCAGCCTTGAGCAGCTCCTTCAAGTCCTTCTTACCCTGGAGGTCAGAGTTTCCACCGATGTGCTGCTTGTTGATGAAGATGTTGGGCACGGTGCGCTGGCTTGAGATCTCAGCGAGAGCGCTCTGGATAGCAGCTCCCTCCTCTGTGAAAAAAAAATCATATTAGCGTACAGTTTAAAACAAGATAAACATCAAAATATAGACAAAATCATATTCTTCAAAGGATACAAACAACACAAAAAGCAAAGGAAAAAGAAGACTCACCCTCCAGATCCAGCTCGAGAGTAGTGTACTTGGCGTTCAAGCTGTCAAGCAACTTCTTGGAAGAGTCACAGTAAGGGCAGTATGACTTGGAGAACACGACGACAGCATTGTCGTTGATGAGGGACTGAGCGCGGGTCTTTGCGGCGGACATGGCGGCGGGATTTGGGCCGGCGAAGGAGCCGAAAAGACGGGTGAAGATGGACGAAATGGTGGGCGGTTTGTGACGAAAGAGAAAGAGGCAGGTGTCTCTTTTTATAGGATGGGGCGGGGTACAGGTACAAAGATGAGGGGATTGGCTATTCCGTCAAGATTGCGGGATTGAACGCGGCGATGATGTCAGGTGATATTTGTCAGCTGGGGAGCTCCCGACGAGGTCTCCCGGGCCGAGACTCTTGTTTCTCTTTGGATTCTAAATGACCACCAAGTACGATTTGGTATATCTTAGGGCTAGCTGGCGCAGCATCTACACGTTTACAGGTTCACGTATAGCAATTATGTGCAGTTATGTATTCATCCATTCAACTTGATATCTGAATAGCTCCGTAAGAAATTATCTGGTACTATGTATTGAAATGCGAGCAAATCCGGGTATCCGACTGCTCGAGCGATATGCAGATCAGGCCAAGGTAATATGAGAAAATCCCGAACAAGAAGGCTTGGGAATATGGAAAAACAGGCTTCGCAAATGTTTCGGAGAGAATTCCGAAAGATTGGAGAAAATAAAGGAAAACCATAGTCAAGAAAGTCAGAGGTAGGTATAAGATGAGAAAGGAGATGCGTACACCTCCATTTATGTTTCTTGCGAGGTGCGACTACCTCGCTCCCATCCTATCCATCGCTATCTGGATCGGTTCTTTTGGAGTTCCTCCTACCACTTCGGTAGGAATGGCAATGATCACAGGAGAAAATAAGAGAAATTTCAAAGAACGGATGCACGGGAAGAAAAAAGAATAGCTATGCTCTGGTGCTGTAGAAGGAAGCCAGATTAAAAATCAGTCTGAAGAAAATGGAACTCTAGGGGAAGAAATGTCCTAGAACGCAGCATATAAAGTCGCAGAACAGAACCGACAGAACACCATCCCGCCGGAGACGCTGAAAAAAAAAATAATAATAACAGAGAAGGGAATCAAGCAGAAGTGCAAATATCAAAGGTATGTTGGGGATATGGACGAAAGGTTAGACAGATGGTTGTAGAGTGGGGGTTCCATCACATCACAATGCAGCATCCGCAGCTCTTATCTTTCTTTGGTAGTTGCTGCGCGGTGACAACTGGGGGGTTCCAGTTGGGATTGGGATTGGGTGTCAGTCCCATTGGGGGTGTGTCCTGCACCTTTGGCATGGTACTGTAGCCGGTACTTGTATTTGGGCGGGTTGGTTCAGGGCTCTTTGGCGGCTGAGGGGGCAACTCTTCGAGCTGTAGAGTCTCCACAGGTTGCTGTTCTGGCTCAGCCTTGGTGGCTACAGGAGGCGGCGCATCGAATGGGTGCACTGCAAGGGGCGCAAAGTTGCGGTCGTATGTGTTCGGTGTCCGGCCTTCCTTTTCCCACTGTTCCTGCATAATCTTTTTGGCGACGGTGGGGATCATCTGCTGGTCTGGTGGAAGGCGGGGATCGGGCTTGTACATAGTTGCCAGCCAAGGTGGGTCTCCTTCGGGCCGGTTAACAGCTGTTGGAGGGCGGCCTTCACCTGACCGGGTGGTAGGGCGTTGGGTGTTGTTACCGGATACAGCACGAGACCGAGGGGTGCTCGCCTTCCTGTTCGTGGGTGGAGCAGAGGTCTTTCGGTTGGTAGAGCCGGTGTTCTTGACTATCTTCTTTCCCAGGGTGTTCTGTGTACTGTTGAATCCGCGGCTGCCTGGTCGACTTCCTGGAGAAGTGATTGAAGCATCCTGCTCAATATTGATAGGTTCACTAGCTCTGCGGCTGCGTGAAGACCGGTCGTCTTCATCTGTTGCAGCACGGCTTCGTGAACTGCGAGAATCGCGGCCAATGGCGCTGGATATGGGAACTGGGCTAACTGTAGAGACAGGTATTCGGGATGCGCTTTTTCCAAGGCTTGGGTGGCTGTAGATGCTGGCGGCTGCATCGTCTGCAGCAATCTCTTCTGGTCGGCGGAGATCCCAATGTTCCCGCTCATTGTCGTCTATGTTACCATTCACATCCCCGTCCTGCTTGTCGAGTTCTTCCTTTATTTTCGGCCAGGGTTCGGAGTATTCTGCAGCAGGTGAGGTCGCCGTACCAGTCCCATTGGCAGGGTTCTGTGGATCATGGCTTCTCCCACGTCCCCCACTTGATTTGCTTTCTCCTCTCATCCGTCGCTGGAAAAGAATGGCTGCCTGGTGGAGCTCCTCACTCTCGATCTTAGCCAACTTGTCTCGATGGATCCATTTTTCCTGATTCGTATTTCCGTCCAGATACAATCGAAGCCCATCATTGGCCTCCTCGGGCTCTTTAGGACCGGCTGTCTCATGACCAAAAGCATCTCGCATGCTGCCTACTTCACTTCCATGTCGGTTGAGACTGTGTTCCCTCCGTCCTCTGTTTGAGGCCAAATAGGGCGATTCGTGTGTGTGGACATTGCGGGAGACGGAGGAGCTGCGTGAGCCATTCGAGGTACGCTGTCGAGAAAATTTTGCGCGGACGGAAGTTGAGTCGTGCGAGTTGCGCTGTTTCGATGCGTGGTTGTCCTGCGGGGGAAGAGAGAATCAGCGCCTTTTTTTTCCTTTTCCACGTTCTTTGGCTGCCAGATTAGTGACTGGAATGCCAATGGAATGATCTTACCTCATTCACAAGTGGCACCGCAAACTCCCATTGCGAGCCATCCACGGGCGATGCTAAGCCGTCTGCAGAATATGCCGCTGTAACGACGCCCGCCATTCCAGAGGTTATTATTCACTAACGAAAAAGGCCAGTCCAGCTGCAACCTGGTTGAATAGTAGAGATTGCCGTAGAGATGGTTTGTCGGATCAAGCCATTCCAGGTAGAATCGGAAAGTGGAGTGTAAGGGGGTACACCCAAGGCAGCAACTTATCAACACGCCAGGTTGACCACAACTGCAGAGAGGTGTCCACGGGGTATGTCCAGTTTGTGCAGTTTCAAGTAAGAGCTAGGTGCTGGAGGGGCTGGTCCCGAAGGCCTTGAGGTCTTGCGGGGTCCGGGAAGTTGAGACAAAGATGTACCAGTACCGTAAGGTGAAATGAGAGTTGAGTTCGAGAGAAGACAAAAATAGAGAATAAAGAGAAAAGAAGAGAAGTGAAGGTTAGAAAAAGAGAGTGTGTAAGGAGAAGAGAGATAGGTAGCCAGACTAGGAATAGTCCTGGAAATAGTCTGGACCAAGTCCGTACGGAGTATTTTAACTATGTTACTATATTACTTCTAGGGTATTTGTTACATATTCCCATACATCATATGTCTATCTTACATATTAATCAATAATCGTTCTATATCTAACTATTTAACAAAAAAAAAAAATAATGATTCTCTCAACTTTTTATTCTGGGCCGTGCGTTGCCCCTGAGCCATGTTGATCACCTTCGAGGTGAATCAAAAGATAGTAAACGGAGAAAGTACGGAGTTATTTAAACTTCCCCCACTTGGTTAAATGAAAGGAAGAGAAAGAGAAAAAAAAAGTGTGTACTCCGTATACTCCGTATATGGCAAATCATTCTGACTGGTTTAGTCTTTGGGGAAATCGCACAAGTTGATATATCACAAATACGCCGATGCCTTTATGCAAAGAAACATCCCGAGGGAGTGGACACGTCCCAGCAAATGGGAAATTTACCGCTAGAGACAATCCCCCGGTAAGAGGTAGATACATGTTGTACATGACTATGTAAGGAGTTCTTCATAACCTTTCAAATCCCCGTATGCACAGCCGGGGGAGTAGGCAACCAGTAAGCCCTATTACGGGTTTACACTTGTATCTAGCCTGTTGAGAGTCGCCTGCGTATCTTTAATGAGGGCCTTGCGTGCACCGCGAGCCACCTCATCGCCATCTGGTTCAATTCCATCTGCCTTGATCTGGATTTGGGCAAGGATCGTTTCGCTCAGTTTCTTATGTTCATAGTCCCGCTTCTTCGGGTCACTGGGCGGGTTCGCAATGTATTCCTCACAGATCGGCTTGATCTCCTGCTCGAACCATTGGGTCAAAGCATTGACCTTCTCCAGCGGCGTACGCATCAACTTAATGTTGGGCGGGAGTGCGGGGATGGCTGACTGGCCTGACGACGTAGGCCGTGGCGACTGAGACGGAGCAGGAGATTCTGGGCGGATGGTGGACTTCTTCCCATTGCGTTTCTTGTTTCTCGATCTCTTGTTCTTTCCACTCGTGGGTGTAGGAGGAGACGATGCTTCTCCTGCACTAGTGGGGCGGGGCATCTGCGGTGGTGGTGGCCCATGTACAGTTACAGGAATGCTTTGCCCGTCGTCAGAGCCATCACTTGGGGAGCTTGCTCCGACTTCGGATACCACGCATAGCACCTCCGAGTGCTGCTTGATTCCCTCGGCTTTGCATGTCCGCGCGTTGTTCTTAAGTAGCTTGCCCTTGTACAAGAGTCTCACACAGTCTGGGTGACCGGCTCCTGTGCTCTTAGCAGCAGCCTCTCGCAGGTCACCGATGGTCAAGACCCCGTCATCGATCGCGTATGCGCGGAAGTGCAATGGGTAGATGGTACCGCGGTGGCGGAGGGCAATAATATCCGGCTCAGCGTCGTCTACTGGCGAGTCCACGTCTGCGGGTGTGATGTAGCTGAAGTCATCATCGCTGACCTGCGGGTTGGATGCGGGAGCGTAGCTCGGCGAGCGCCGCAGCATTTTTAAGGGGTTGCGCCAACTCATCGCAACAACAGTGAATAGGCAGACAACAAAAGCTCCAAAAAGGGCGAGGGGTTGGTCGTCGGAGGCAAGTGGCAGCTTTTTCGCGAGGGGACCGAAGGGCGTCTTGGACAGGTAGGCGAGAATAGGGTTTAGGTGATGGCGGAGGGAATGTAGGTGAACGGGGAGGATGTCTGTGATATGGTCTATATAGACTGCGCACTTCTCGCCCAAGGTGGACTGAGCGAGGGTCGGGGGCAGTAAAGTCATGGATCACTGTGGAGGGGAAAAGAGCGCAGGTGGTTGTGAAGTCATGCCCCCAAGCAGTCCGGAATAGGCAGATAAGGCGGAGAGTACTTTTTTTGCCGTCGCATTGAGCAATCGATGTACTCCCAACAAGGGCGTGTCTGCCTTGTGGATTGTCTGATTTCAAGTAGGCTCTTTTGCTGTTGGGATTTCGGAGACATTTGGAATAGTTGGGTTTTAAGTCGACGGATGCCTTGTGTACCTTGGGGCTGCCTAGAAGTGTGGCGATACCTGAGGCCTGAGGCAGATCTATTACAGATATAATTACGGAGTACATCACACCATCCTGTTACACATATGGTGATAGATTTGCCATGGTGTGGAGTATTTAGTTCTTTTTTCGATATTTAAAGCAAGACAGCTCCTCATTCGTTGTAATGTGGAGGCTCTTTCGCGACGTTGAGTAACCCAATTTGACCTCGATCGGCGTATATCTACAAAAACGCGGGGTCATATAGCTCCCCACCTTTGTTCCATATGTATTAGGATACTAACTATGTAGGATCTCGGAAAAAATGGTCCAATTATCTTAAAATATAGAAAAATTCAAAGTAGATAGTAAATTAGATACGATATCTCAAAGCCTGTGCAATGGTTAGTGCGAAGAAATTATATAGCTATTTTTGTCAGATATTCACATCACAAGCCCGAGTGGCTCAGTGGTTGCCTTCGTGGTCTAGTTGGTTATGACGTCGGTCTCATATCCCTTCCCTTGTTCGCAAGGTCTATATGACATTCTTGGTAACAAGATTGACATCCGAAGGTCTCCAGTTCGAACCTGGACGAGGGCATTTATTTTTTATTTTTTTCTACACGACAATATATCCATCTACCAGCAATTTCTTTTTTCTCTTCTTTCCGTGTGTGAGAGAATAGGCTTCAAACTCGGTCAGTTTTGGTGGGAAAATGGGCTGTGGGTACATGATAGATACTTAGAAGCAGGGTCTGTATTATCGTTTTCTTTTCGCCTAGATATCTGGCTCTTTGCCATCGACGGCTCTTGCCATAAGAAAAGGTGTACAGAACCATACCTATGCCCAGCTATAATTATATTACATAGATTAACACACAGAATTATCATATACTTGATTGATTATACCATACACCATATATATCTACTTTCCCTGAACATCGGTCTAGGTCAGATCTATGGTAATTATCCGCAAATATATAAACAACCTCTAGGTGGGAACTCCTACATTCAACATGCAAAGGAGCGTCAATTTGTCGATTTACGTTATTTCTATATACTACTATACTTACTAGCGACTCAAATACTTCTGATTCACGACTTAAGTTTGTCTAGGTCTTTAGGGGGTATTACGGCTGGGCTTTTATACGACTATTAAAGCAACCCCTGTAGTGCTAAGACTAGACGGGATGATAAATAGTCTCTTACGAGGAACGGCGATAGAATTTGAGGCCCTATAATGTATAATAATAGACTATATAGTTTTTATATATAAAGGCGCTATTTTATAGCTGTTAATATATATATACGTTAGCTTGGTATATATGACTACTACCGTATCTCACCTGGGCAGACCCTCTCGGGTATTGAGTAACAGTATGCAGCCTACTGTCGACTTCCCGGTGTTCAATGTACTTCCCTGCATAGATACACGGGTCCACAGGTTTCTTGGTCTAGTCGTTAGCCTTGTTCACTCCATCTAGCCGATGATAGTTCTATGTGTAACAGCAATGGTACGAACACACTTATAAACGACTAGGTTAGAATACGAATGTGTATGTTGGTGGATTGTTCGGTGTTCGCATGCGTGGTTTGGGTTTAACTTTCTAGGTTCCACAGTTGTTGCGTGGGTGAGGCTAACCTTGTTTAGACATTCATCTCGATGTTATCTATGTGGGTAACTTTGCTATATTGGCGGACCTCACCTTGACTTGAACAGTGGATTGATCTTTGTATCGGGCAGAGAGTATGGAGGTGTTTTGCTGTACTCCTTCATGCCATTCCCTTGCTCTGTTATCTCTCACTGGCTGAGTAGTTTGTGGAGTATATCCATGTAGTTAGGTGCTTCTACGGGTGTATATTATGTTAGGCTTATTTCGGGTCATCGTCGGTTGCGTGTATGAAACCTATGTCCCCTTTCGGATATATTATCTCGCTATATAACATACTAGGCATATAACCCTGCTGGTGGGGATACAGTTGGTGAGGGGGTATAGACGGCAACATATATGCGACATATCTCCTCTTGGTTCTGCATGTAATAAATAAACGAGCTCATGTAGTAGAAGGGGAACCTCTCCACTGTCGATCTCGATGCCAATCACTCCTTTCTCGCCATCTATAACGACCTACCTAGTTCTATTCACCGGTGTGGGTGATATATGGTCGGAAGTTATATCGGGCTTAGTACATTGCTTGCGTGCAGCATTTTATGGTAATAGCAGATATCTATACGCTTTCTCTGTCTGCCCTGGTTTCTAGGAGACCGTTTGTAGCCCTCTAATGTGTGTCATGTGTCGCGGTGGGCACTGGTGTGCATTATATATTGTTTGGGGGGTTGGTCGGACCTTGAGGATAAAGTCATTAGCTATGTGTGTATTATAGTCGCGAATCGTCGGCCATTCATATGTGACTATTAACACTGAATGCAGCGGATTAGTTCTATCTGTGTCTTCTCAATGCTATACAGGCATATTAAGGGTTGAATACTAAATGGGGTGAAGCTTCTACATTTCAAATGAAGGTCTATCACCGAGGAGAGCGACTACAGCTAGGAGATACATACAAGAGTGGCGAATATAAGATCCAATCCTAGGATATTCCTATATATTGAGGGCTAGTTTATGAATCTACCTACCGTGGCTCGCTGTATGTTGGCTTTTTTTTTGGTTGGGATATGACTTTGTTGTATTGGGGCGGTCATGCCATGAGATATATATCGACTCGATTTCACTGGGCGGCTTTATTCGCTAGAATGTCGGCACTAAAGTTGAGGTATGTTATTTGGAATTATTTATTGCAGTTAGTACTAATACTGAGACCCTGCCTGGCAGATTCTATGCGTTTCTATACTGAGCGCTACTGTCTACAATGTTAGCCTAGGGCAGTCCGTCTGGCGCATATGTACAGCATGGGAGTAGGAGTCCTGTCAATCAGTTTGCTAGGAGCATACGCCCTTTCCTTTTTAATAAATTATATCCTACCTTGCTCGTTATGTAGAACCAAATACTAAGAAAATGGATACAATTTTTCCGCACGCACAATATATAATATCGACGGCCAACATGATACGCCCCGTTACAAAGTTAAATACTCAATAATTCGATTGATAATGACAGACTTCAATGAACAATAGGTAATCAATTCAATCAGAAAGTTTCCCATAGAAAATTAAATTCCAGAATAATCATTTATTTGCAGCCTCGGTCACCACCGACTGTCTGGGTCCATATAGCCATTAATCTGCAGCCATTTCGTAATCAGCCTTCGTGGTCTAGTTGGTTATGACGTCGGTCTCATATCCCTTCCCTTGTTCGCAAGGTCTATGACATTCTTGGTAACAAGATTGACATCCGAAGGTCTCCAGTTCGAACCTGGACGAGGGCATTTTTTTTTGTCTCTTTCATATAGAGTAGTGGACCCATCAACTGCACTTATGATTGGGTGCAACTTCAGTTTTAATTTCACAGCTAGTGTGCACTTCGGTTTTTGCACCCCACCTGCCCAGGTGGCCACACCATAAATTACATAATATTTTGCCAGATCAACTAACGTATTCGGTAAGCGAGCTGCGCGCGCAAGCCAGCTGCGCAGCCCAAAACACATAGTAAAAGTGATGCACTTGTCATTTATATTTCAACAACCAACGTTTTTATCATATTAAATTTCTTGCCGATAGCAACCGATAAGCATTTTTAGTGTTATATAGCAGTTTCGCCTAAATCAAAAACATGCATTGTCATGATTTCAAAAAATACATCCCTACATTCAAGAAATATATATTTATCGATCATATCTCTATCAAACACCTATTAAATTCCTATAAAGTCTAGATAATAGCTAGATGTCATATAAAATATATTAGGCTATAAGGAAAAGTTCATATACATAACCGTTGTTACAATATCATATTGTAATTTATCGCTTTTACTATGTGTTTTGGGCTGCGCAGCTGGCTTGCGCGCGCAGCTCGCTTACCGAATACGTTAGTTAGTTAGTTACATTATGATTATATCTACTAACATGGCATAGGAAAGAAAGCACTAGCTTAAGATATCTGGCCTGCAAGAAAAGAATACTAATACGAAAAGAACATTGACATTTTTTTTACAATAAGGGTCGAAAACAGAATCCCCTCTACCTATAGAGTCTAGATACGCCCACTGTTTCTCGGGCCGTACCCGAAACCATGCTGAGTGGCTTGAATGAGGCATGTCCATTGAATATTGCCGGATTCAGAGATGTAGCTGTCAAAGAATATGGTGAGTGGCTCGCATCAATTGTATTAGATGATACTCTTAAAGCTGCATTCAGGCAAGCGTCCGAAATGACGCTGTTGGATGGTTTTGGCATTGAACATATACAAGGATCAGAATCCAGAGTTCTTTGTGTGCAAGGGAGTCAAGCCTAGTATTGTTCGATTGTTTGTAGAGAACATTCGCGATTGGGTTGAAAACATGAAGAAAGAGATACCCATTCTCGAATGTATCCTGTTGGCAGCGGGGGCGACTGATGTTTCTTGGGTTAGGGTTGCATACATTCGTCATGTTGGATAGATAATTAGGCTTGATTTCAAAGTGAGCATGTATTGCTAGATCTATTGAGATTCGACTTCCAATCAGTATCCCTGTTCACTGACAGTATGACACGTCTAATATTCGAAGCCTATCGGACTTGAACAAATTTATACCCAATCTTTTATTAGGCATCTAGTCAAATGCATTGTTACGTATCACCACACTTAATTTAGCCCCAACTCCTGTCTTTGTCTTATTAACAGGGACCGTGCAAGGACGCGGGCTAGTGGCTCCAACTAGCGCTGAAAGTGAGTTAGCAATTTGTTTTGCTTCGATCAAATCCACAACTCTGTTGTTAGGGGCTGTTGATCGCTATACACTCCACTGACCTAAACGAAGACCATGGATCCGGCAACTGCAAGTGCGGATTCTTGCCAGCCCCTGAGGATCCTCTCGCTCGGTAAGTCTGTTTGGTCCAAACCGTCCGCGCTAGGTCGCTAACTATTCGGAGATGGGGGTGGAATTCGTGGCATATCAAGTCTTCTTATATTGGAAAGAATCATGGAGAGAATCTGCGATGCCGAGGACCTCGACCACGTTCCGCGACCGTGCGACCAGTTTGATTTGATCGGTGGCACAAGCACTGGAGGGTATGGCTGAACGTTTGATGCATCTAAATCACCATCGCTAATTGACCCCCAAAGAATCATCGCAATCATGCTTGGAAAACTAGGCATGACAGTCGATGAATGCATACGAGCGTATAGACAGGTTGCAGAGCAAGCCTTCACCCCCAAACGAACTTCGATATTACCCGCATCACCTACAGGTGCGTTCTCGGCGAAAGCTCTCGAAAACGCCATGAAACAAATAGTCCGAGAGTATTGTACAAACGTCGAATGCGTAACCCGCCGGCGCCAAGGTCACGCAACTGTCACCACATGTCCACATTCCAATATGGTTTTCCGAGACGACACATGCACAAAAACGTAAGTTTGAAATCAGGTATGCATGGCTAGGTGGTCTTTGTTAAATATGACATAGTGTGGTCTTGGCAATCACGAAAGACAATGTCGATGCACCACCAACACTCTTCAAGACTTATGATCGATCCGCTGCCTTCGAGAGTTCTACCCTTTGGCAGGTTGCAAGAGCGACTTCAGCAGCAACGACCTTCTTCAAGTCCATAAAAGTTGGCCGAGATGAGATCGAGTTCATTGATGCCGGCTTTGGATACAATAATCCATGCAATATTCTGATCCAGGAGGCTCAGCGAGAGTTTCCTGACCGCGGAAAAATGCGGATTCTAAGCATCGGGACTGGCTTAGGTGATGTCGTTACTATCCAAAACAAACGTTTATCTATTATTACCGCGCTAAAAAGAATGGCCTCATCATCCAAGAAAGTGGCAGCAGACGTCGATCATCGCTACGGTGGTAACGGCGAATACTATCGGTTTAACGTTGATCAAGGCCTTCAGGATATCACATTGTCAGATTGGGAGAAAGCTAGTAAGATATCCGCGCACACACGGAACTACCTAGCGGAGAATGAGCGAGTGATTAAACAATTGATTGGTGAAATCACCTGTCATTCTCAAGTGTCTGGTACGGGTAGAGATATGATAGTGAGCCATGGCAAACCTCGTCCAAGTTAGTCTACTAAAGAGCCCAATTTACTGAATAGAGTCTATTAACACTCGACTGACTTTCACAGGCAAGCCTTTCTTCTTTGTCCCACTACGTCAAAACGGTAACTTTGTAGGACGTGGAAAGGAATTGGACGAGCTCAAGCAGAAGGTACTGGCTCAGAAAGATAATGGAAGACTCGCAGTCTTCGGGTTAGGCGGTATCGGCAAGACCCAAATCGCACTGCAAGTTTCGTACTGGGCGAGACAAGCCATGCCCGCCCACTCTATCTTTTGGATACCAGCACTGAGCAAGGCAAGTTTTGAGCAGGCTTGCACGCAGATTGTGGCAAAGCTCGGAATCAGTAAAATCTCGGATAATGAAGATGCCATGGAGTCAGTGCAACGGCATCTGAGTTTGCAATCAACCGGACCGTGGCTTCTGATTGTGGACAATGCGGACGACATGGATTTGCTCTTTGGAAGCTCAGATTCGCCTGGAGGGATGAGTCAATATTTCCCAGAGAGCGAGATGGGTGTGACATTACTGACTACTCGCTCTCGAGAGATAGCCGTGTCATTTGCGGGCAACCAAGTCATTACAATCCAGAATATGAATTTGCAAGAGACAACAGGTTTATTGGAAAACTCGCTGATCAAAAGAGATACGCGTCAAGACAGAGGGGAGACAGTGCAGCTGCTAGAGGAGCTCAACTACTTGCCTCTAGCGATCACGCAAGCGGCTGCCTACATGAACACGGCAGATATATCAATTTCAAAATACCTCTCATTGCTACGCGGCAAAAAGAGCGATGCGGTCAGACTCTTAGGCAGACAATTCCAAGACAGCACACGCTACAGGGGATCACAAAATGCCGTGGCTACCACATGGCTGGTTTCCTTTCAGCAAATTCACAGAACGGATGAAGCTGCAGCTAACATATTGTCATTTATCTCCTGTATCGAGCCAAAGGCGATTCCACTTTCGCTCCTGCCTGACGTTGGATCGGACGAAGAACTAGTCCACGCTATTGGCACGTTGTGTGGCTATGCCTTTCTCGCCGAAAGAGATGATGCTTCATATGACATGCATAGCTTGGTCCACTTGGCGACGCAGGTATGGGTTCGAGAACAAGGATTCGCAAAACAGACAATAGAGGAAGCTGTTCATCATTTAGTGGGGACCTTTCCATCTCATGATTATATCAATCGCAGATTGTGGCAGAGCTTCCTACCACATAGCCTGAGAACTCTCCAAGAAAGCGAAGGGCGGGACACAAAGGAGAGGTCGGAGCTATATATCAGGGTTGGCCGATGCCTGGAAGCAGACGGCAGGATCAGGGAGGCTGTGAATTGTTATGAAGAAAAATTTAGGTGGGACAAAAGCCAGTACTCGGAGGAACACCCTGACCGACTAGCATCACAGTATGAGCTTGCTATTGTGTATCAAGCTGACGGCCAGGTTAGCGAGGCGGTCAAGCTACTTGAGCATGTAGTTGCAGTACAAGAGAGAACCCTGGCTGAAGAGCACCTCTCTCGGCTGGTATCACAGAATGGCCTCGCTCGTGCATACCGAGCTGATGGCCAGATTAGCGAGGCGGTCAAGCTACTTGAGTATGTGGTTACAGTATTAGAGATAACTCTGGCTAAAGAGAATCCCTATCGGCTAGCATCACAGCATGAGCTCGCTATTGTATATCAAGCTGACGGCCAGGTTGGCAAGGCAGTCAAGCTGCTTGAACATGTGGTTGCAGTACAGGACACAGCCCTGGCCGAAGAGCACCCTAACTAACTAGCATCGCAGCATGGGCTCGCTATTGCATATCAAGCTAATGGCCAGGTTAGCGAGGCAGTCAAGCTGCTTGAGTATGTGGTTGCAGTGCGGGAGAAAACCCTAGCTGAAGAGCACCCCTCTCGGCTAGCATCACAGCATGGGCTCGCTAGTGCATATCAAGCTGATGGCCAGGTTGGCAAGGCAGTCAAGCTGCTTAAACATGTGGTTGCAGTACAGGACACAGCCCTGGCCGAAGAGCACCCTAACCAACTAGCATCGCAGCATGGGCTCGCTATTGCATATCAAGCTGATGGCCAGGTTAGCGAGGCAGTCAAGCTGCTCGAGCATGTGGTTGCATTGCGGGAGAAAACCCTAGCTGAAGAGCACCCCTCTCGGCTAGCATCACAGCATGGGCTCGCTATTGCATATCAAGCTGATGGCCAGGTTAGCGAGGCAGTCAAGCTGCTTGAGCATGTGGTTGCAGTGCGGGAGAAAACCCTCGCTGAAAAGCACCCTGACCGACTAGAATCACAGTATGGGCTCGCTATTGCATATCAAGCTGATGGCCAGGTTAGCGAGGCAGTCAAGCTGCTCGAGCATGTGGTTGCAGTGCGGGAGAAAACCCTCGCTAAAAAGCACCCTGACCGGCTGGCATCACAGCACGCGTTAGCAATGGTTAAACACGAGTATGAGAATGAGCGACGGCATTGATAATGCACAACAAATACCTATCCAAATATGTAAGTAGTCACATTAAACTTATCTCCGACTATGGCCATAACGCACGACCCTGGATTTCAAGTCCCAAGAAACAAAAGACAATACCATCTTGAGCATACGCTGGTAATATTTGATGCCGCTCACCACGGTGGAACTGTGGCACTTGCACCGGGGTAACACCGCGTGGTACCTACTCAGCCTGCTCGTCTAAATCCGATACGTTAATCACAACTAGACTCATCAACGTAGACCAGGCGGTATGAGTAAAATTCTGAGCGATCATAGAGACAGATTTCTCGTAAGTCTCCATTTTACTCCTTCGCCTGCTGCCGGATGTTTTTTCGGACCACCCCCATAAAACTGAGAGCCCTCCTGACACTTAAGGTTGTCGCTAGCATCCGGAATTCGTCTTATATAAATATACCTATTTCTTCAAGAGACAGACCGGATTTTTCGAGCAGATGGTCGTGGAGATCTTCTAGCATCAGTGGAGTTATAGTTCGTCTTCGACCGACATGGTTTTGGGGACATGGACATTTCCGAATAGCCGCACGGCTATTCTTGATTGCTCTTCGCTACATTCAGCTGCATCAGCCACTTGAAACGTGGTTAGTGACTGGCTTTTTATCACATCATGAATAAATTGCAGCTTTGATGGGGCCAGTCTCGGAGCCATATTATGCAGAGGATGTAGCAAATGTTGAGGATCTATGTAGTGCTTCAGAGGGAAGGAAACAACCTTCAAAGAAGAGCAGCACTGAGGGGCATAGGTATGTATTGGAGTTTCGGGTAATTTATAAAAGAATATGTAATGCAGTCGTCCTGGTACAAAACAATCTATGTACTCTGATACCACCTTTGTCTACTGAATATGGAGTCGTTCAATAATTTACATATATGTGTAATTTGCTAGTTAATAAATTTGGAATACACACTATATCTACTCGATACATAAACTGTTGTAGCTTTTGTAATGAAGCTAGCGGAGACCAACCCTCCTCAAGGTCACATGACTGACTAGCTCATCTATTTGGTTTATAGAGATCAAATTTCTTCATTATCTCATCACAAGCCCAAGTGGCTCAGTGGTTGCCTTCGTGGTCTAGTTGGTTATGACGTCGGTCTCATATCCCTTCCCTTGTTCGCAAGGTCTATATGACATTCTTGGTAACAAGATTGACATCCGAAGGTCTCCAGTTCGAACCTGGACGAGGGCATTTCTTTTTTAATTTTTTTTTCTTTTTGATCACTGATATAAAGGCGACGAGTGAGTACTGTTAATTTATGTTTGATTTTTTGGGGTGCTTTTGAGCTCTATGAAAATAATCAATTGGAACTGGTGTATACAAGAAACTGAGTCAAAGGAATTGAGTTATGTACAAGCGAAACGACGTATATTACACTGTCCAGCAGTTGAAGAGAAGGGCTGACATGCGAACACTGCAACGTAAGTGTTCAGCCTAGGCGCAAACGACCAGGCACTGCCCGATCTCCAAATAGCGCCGAACCTTCTTCTGCGGTATTTTCATCACCCGACATCCAGCGCGGAAGTCGGAATGGCTCACCCTGGAACCATTGAGGAGTTTTGGTAGTATCAAATGTGTTTTTGACACGATGCGCGAAGGACTGGAAGAAGTTCTCATCTTCCTCATCCTCGCCTTCTACAATTGTAGGAGCAATAACTGTCCTCTGGGTGGGTTGGGAGCCCTCCGCAACCGGGACTCGTAGTCGGGACGAGCCGGGGGAACCTTCATCTTCACGATCCGACGCCCAAGTTGAACGACTACCACGGGAGGAGACTGCTAGAGAACCGAATCCGTTCAATTCACGTTCAATGAGGTCGCGGCCTTCACGCCAGCCGCCCATGCCATATCCTGCAGGATTGTTTTCAACATCGTGTATATCATCATCCTCTGCAAGGCCACACCCGAAGATGTTTTTGATACGCCCGTACAGGTTGAACAGCGTTGCGCAGATAGGAAGAAGGATGAGGATCGGGAAGATGAAGTCAAACCCTTTCCCGAGGGGTGTCAGGTTGATAAGTTTACCAAGGAACTCGTAGAAAGTGGTACTTCGTCGAAACTCTTTCGGCAAGAAGGTCAAAAAGTTGTAGGCAATTGGTACCGTCAGCCGGGCCACGAGACCAGCGTACCAACACGCACTCTCGCCATAGGTATTACGACGGACAAGTGCGCGGTTTCCCCACACCTTGACATCGCTGACACCAACAAGAGCCGCCGAGCACATGTACAATAGCCAGGCAGAAGCTGTGAGTTGACCACCGAAGCCAACTGGGTTCTTTTTCCAGTTGGGGACTACGGTCAAACTCACGGCGGAGAGATGGGGCGCCAAAGACTTGATCAGTTCTGACCAAACAATACAAGCTGATGCCAATGCGAAGAACGCGCCGAATGCTAGCCTGACCGAGGGAATGACGTTGGAATATAGCTGATACCGCATGTACGGGTTGAGCAATCTCACACGAGGGATCCAAGATGACCTACGTGGGGCCGGTGCAAATTCGAGCTTCTTTGAAGCTGCAGAATCGATGATGGCTTGGAGATCGGCTGATAACTGGACCAGACGATCCCACTCATCCACAAATCGGGCCTTCATGTGTCGAGCACGCTGAAGCCGCCGTGTAAGGTCGGCTAGATAGCGTTCTGTGATCACAGAAGGGATCGTGGCGGATGTATCCGAGGGCTCGAGGATCGGTGCCCGCACGTCAGGTTGACCGTGTCCTTCCTGAAGTTCTTCAATCCATTCCTGGAAGTCACGCGCAGTTCCTGTCTTACGGCGCTGTAGTTGAGAAACCTGGCTATTGAGATTCGCTAGCTCATTGACTGAGTCCATCAGACGATCGTGCACCTTGGGCGCATGTGCCTGGATTCTGCGTAACCGACCGCTCACATTGGAGTTGCGGAGCAGGTTTCGCGGGATCGAAACAAGACCGTGGCCCATGAGATAAATGGCAAGGACGAGACCCCAGACATATGCCAATGCCATGATGAGACCTTTAATGGATCTGAATTCGAAACCGTTCGAGATCGATACGTAGATCAAGCCCACTAGAGCACATCCCAGGACAATTAATTGATATCTGGCGTTCGATCGAAGAGAGTACATAAGCCGGCCTTTTGGCTCACGGTAGCCCGAGTCGACATATTCACCGAGTAATGGGAGGATAACCCTGTAGTAGAGACAAGAATGAGTGACAGCTCTCAAGTTGAAGAGTGGGACACTTACCAGGTGAGAACGAATATTAGCCAGTAGGCAATGCGCCAACATACCAGAACCATTCGTTCCGGTAGCCAGATTGCTTTGGGGCCAGATCCATCTCGCGAACTTGACGCCAAATCGATGGGGACAAGAAGCACAACACTGGCGGGCAGAGCCAGAGCTAGGAATATAGGAACACTTAAATACGCGGGGGTGGCGCGAAGAGTGAGAAACCGTCGTAGAAGAAGTAACACAAGTGCGGAGATGAGGAACAGGGCAAATGCGAAAAAGACGTTCGAGCCCACCGAGATGGGCGACACAGATACGGGGAACATGCTGAAGAAACAGCGAAAGCCAAGGGAAAAGAAAAAAGAAAGGAAGATTCAGCCGCTGTTCATGGCGAGATATGTAGGGCGCAAATGAAAGAAGCGACTGTTGAAAGTTGAAAGGTAGAAAGAAGTGTATATATAGAACAGGCCCGGGGGGGTTGACGTTTCGGGGCCAGGAGAGTGGCTGACTTAAGCTCTGACTAACTGGAGGAATACTTGTACTGGGGACTTTACTTTGGTCGTGTGCTCAAGTGTATAGTGGGGTACCTGGTACCAGTCACAGCCTCCTGACATTTCTGACCAATTGGTCCCTCCGGATCAGGTCAGGGCCAGAACGCCTTGTCGATCTTTGATGGGAACAGAAACCAATTTCTTTTCTTTTCTTTTTTTTTTTTTTTTAATTTTTGCTTTTTGGGAAAATATTTGGTAGGAGTAAATAAAAAGTTGTATTCAATTTTAGTATGGGATATTATGTACTACATAGTATATATGTAAAAAAAATATATATATATTGTACTTTTATATACGTACTCGTATTTAAGAATATCGGGCATTATTTAAGATCCACACCATGATGACGACGTGTTTTGAGCTTCTTAACGGCCTTAGGGATCGTCAAAAGATTTGCAGTGTATTTGTAGTACATGTAAAAAAACGAGACAGTACCCCAGGGATACCTCGCCAAATAGTAGAAACCCACGCAAAACTGTAAGTACCTCTCAATTAACCTTGTGATCCCCCCCAATAACATCACAATACCAAATTAGAATACACAACCTATTGATACGCGCCCATGCCATTATTCTTTCTTTCAATCAAAAACCCTCAATGGGGATGAATAAAACATAGCCCTTCATTTAATTTCCTTTTATCACTTCTCATTCATTTATCAATACCTAAAAACATAATATTCGATCACTCCTTTTCCCTCCAACAATTTCCATTTTCTCTTTGTAAGTATCTTTCTTTTCTACCCCCCGAATCTTCTGAGCAATTGAGGCCCGGTGCGACTTGAGAGCTGCATGATCCCTGTCACGGATCCCATTCACCTTACAATTGCTCTCATTCGTTCCAAAACCATAATCAGGTGCTGGCCAGCGAATTGAATTCATCTGACGCTGGTGCCCGAACGCCTTGCTTTCCTCGTTGTGTTGGTTCCCTCTCCCTCCTGTCCTCCGTTTCGTTCATTTCCCATCCCCACCCTCCCTGATCGACTCGAATCACGGTTCCACACCAGCACCTGCTTACCTTTTTTTTTCTTCCGCTGATCACCTTCGATTTCCTTGCTTCGTCACTAACCGACATCTTCATAGCGCGTACTTCAGCGAATGCTAACGTTCAATAAGCATCTTCGCGGATTTCCTATTAATCCCCCATTGATGGGGCGTCTGCTATGAATCCCGGAGAGTTCCCCAACCCGGGCGCGGGGCCTGGCCGGCCAGCCCCGAACAACGCGATGAGGATGAATGCAAACATGCAGGTCCCAAAGAACGACAGTGTGCAATCCATGATGACCTGGGTTGCGCAAATGTTGCAAAACCAGGGACCATATGGAGGTTGGAAGTCAGAGGTTCTAATCAAGACTCGGGCGACGAATGTTTATCAAATGTTAGTTTTTTTCTTGCGATACTTGCTTTGCGCTTTTATTGTTATCTGGTCTAACCTCTACGTGAACTAGGATTACCTCCCTCCGTTTGATCCAACCTCGCATCGATCTCCACCAGGCGGCCCAGGCGGCCATGAGTTTCGAATTAAAAGCATTCACCAAAGCCAACGAGATGATTGAATATGAGAAGGAATGCACCGAAAAGCTTCGTCACATTCGAAACACCCGCGAGAGACAGGCCGCGGTCGCTTACCAAAGTGGAATGATGCCCCAGACGGGCGCTGGACAAAATCAGATCCCAGGCGCTTTTCCGCAGCACATCAATCAGAGCATGCAGGCGTCCCCGGTCTCTGGCCAACAACAGATGGCAATGGGAATGAATGGGCAGAACCAGGCAGCCATGCAGCAGCGACAGCAACAGCAGTCACAGGCGATGCTCCAGCAGCAGCAACAACAGCAACAGCAGCAACAACGGCCTCAACAGCGCCCTGGCAATGGTATTCCCATGGTCGATGACCTCAGTACGCTTTCCGCCCAGGATCTTGACCACGTCTCTCGACTCGCAAATGAGATGTTGAATAAAACCAGCCCGGAAGATATGGAGAAAATCAAGTTGAATTTGTCGAACATGACACCCGAGCAGCGGCAATATTTGGCACGGCAAAACCTTGAGCCAATGACCTATTTTTTCCGCTCTCAGGCACTCAACCAGATCAGACGTCATCGTCGCGCTCGTCTGGAAATGGGGGGACGCGCGCCAAATGCCGGGGTTGATGCGAATGGCAACATGATGGGCGATCCCATGATGAATTCTCAGCACCAGCGCCAAATGCTTCAGAATATGCTAAACCTTCAACGCAACTCTGCATTTCCTGGAAATCCTGGCCAGACAATAGAACCTCCGAACTTCATTGGCAATGTGGAAAACATCCAAGGCCAGCAAGCAGATGGCTTGCGCTCACAGGAGGCTGGTCAGCTAGTCGTTCCTGCAAGCTCTTCCCAAATGAACCAGGCTCCATTTCCGAACAATAACAATAATATGTTCCCACAGCAGATGGGTCAGAATGGCCAGGCGAATATGAACGCCAATAATCCAAACGCCCAGGCTCAGTTCCTTGCCCAGCAGCATCTGCAGGGTGGGTCCAACACCCCCCAGGATCGAATGCAGTTCCAGGCACAACAGCGTGCACAGGCGGCCCAGAAGGCTCAGATGGCGATGTCAGCTCATGGTGGCCAAGTGACCCCTCAATCACAACCGCAACTAAACGGGCAGAGCCCCGTTATGCCAATGCTGAATCAACCCATGGCTCCGGGGCAAATGTCTCCAGTCCAAGTGCCCGCTCAAGCCCGACCACCGTCCCGACTTGCGAATATGGGCCAGCATCCGGCTGGCGTTGCAGGACAGGCTGGCATGCAAGGTCCGCCCCAAATCCCCTCCAACATCCCGCCTCACATTCAGGAACAACTTGCTCGCATGCCCCCTGAACAGGCCCGGGCCTTTATCATGCAACAACGTCGTGCCGCTCTCAACAACATGGCTCGAGCCAACCCCGGCCAGCAGCCACAACCCCAGCCAGGCCAGGCCCAAACAATGATGAATAACCAGATGGGTAACGCCATCATGAGAGGCTCTATGAGTGCCCCACAGGATTTGAACTCGGGCGGAATACCCCAAGGCCAGCAAATGTCTGTGCAGCAACGCCAAAAACGCCAGGGTGAGCTCTTCAAGCTCCAATTGCTGCGGCAGCAGAACAACGGCGTGGAAATGACCCCTGAGCAGGGCAAACAAATGGACCGCGTGTCTTTCCCACCGTCTATTCTGAACATGAATGGCACCTCGATGCAAGTTCCTAGCAACGTCAAATCGTGGGGCCAACTCAAGCAATGGGCAAATTCTAACCCTCAAATCGCAAGCCCCAACGACCTCCCGCGCCTCATGATGCTACAGAAACTTCATCTTGGTCAACTGATTTCAGCCTCCACAAATCAAGTCAGAGACCAAAATGGCCAGGGTCCAGCGGCAACTCCATTCCAGAGCACCCAAGCCCCATTTATGAACGCGCCAGGCTTCCCTCCTGGTCAACAACCCACTGCTGCCAATATGCAAGCAATGCGGCAAATTTCCGCCCAGGACATCCAAATGGCTCGTCAAAAGCTTGGACCCCAGGCCTCAAACTTGACTGACGAGCAAATTCAAAAACTTCTGTACCAAAACCGCCAGAAGCAGATGATGCAGGCTGCACAGAACCGAGCAATGCAACTTGAAGGAAATGCGCAGCCTGGCCAGCTAAGTCAACCGGCGGCCCAACCTCCGGCTCCTGCAGCACAGCCTGTCTCGCAGATCAAGTCGCAGCATCCCCTGCCCCCGCAATCGACCACTCAAGCGGCGAACGCAAAGACCCAAACCGGAACCACGGCGGTCAAAGGTGCTAAAGGTGCCACTGGGAAGCAGCCCTCAAAGAAGAGAACTAGTGCCGATGATACCACAGAAGGCCGGGCCACAGCTACACCGCAGATGAGCCAGCCTGTGGCTGTCCCGGGGGCCCCGGGCACGGCCCCTCAACGGCCAGGTCTCCCCTTCACACAGGAGCAGCTTGCACAGATGACTCCTCAGCAACGAGCCCAGGTTGAAGCACACATGCGGAGGCAACAGTCCCATAGTCGCGGTCAGGTACTCAGCAGAGCTGCCGCCGAGGAGGCGTGGAATAGGAATCTGCCACCACAGGTTATGGAAGTCTATAATGACATCGCCAAGAACGCTCCACCCGCGAAACCCATGCCTGTCTCGCCAGAGCAGAAAGCCGCCATGACCAAACAACTACGTGAAGCCTTGGATGTTCTCGGTCGCTTGGATGCCCTTGTACAATGGTTTGCAAAGATGCAAGGGCAGGAGAAGAATGTGAAGAATCTCCTCGCCATGGTAAGCTCTCCTTTGATAATACCCAAGCGTCTGTTTACTAATCTGATCTTACTTAGCGTATCCAATTGATGAGACAGTTCAAGCCCTCGCAGGATTGGGTTGTGAATGAACATTTCACAGTCACTCCAGATTATCTTAATGGCGCCATCCTTTTTATGCGAAAGTTGTTCGCGGTGATGATTTCCCGCATACAACAAGGTCAGCGCCCTAGCGTATCCCAACCTCCTGGCTCCAACGCCCAAGCAATGCAAGGCAACATGCCAGCACTGAACGCAGCCAACCTGCAGCATTTGCAGGCACAGGAAGAAGCTCTACAACGAGCCCGACGTGCCTCTAGCCAGTCTGTCGTAAATGTTCCAGCTGCACCTTTCGCGGCTCCATCTCCCAGGGGGGTCCCTCAGTATGCCCCAGGCGGGCTTGCCCCAGAGAATCTCAAACTGCCACCTCCCAAAAAACGGAAGCAGTCTCATGGCGTGGCATCATCCCCGATCCAAGCAACTGCAGCTCCTGGCGCTGCAGCAAAATACAATAAAGCGGTGGCGGATGCCACATCCAATGCTGCAGCCATGGCAGGTGCCTTCAAATGCAGTGTGGCTGAGTGTCCACACCATTACCAAGGATTCCCTACACAAGCCGTCTTGGACAAACACGTCGAAGAAAGCCATCAACCGGAGGAGGAAGAAATAGTCGAGGATTACTTGAAATATTACCATGAAAGCATCTCGATGGGTCTTGGATTGAATCCCAATGATGATCCCGAAGCCCCGCAGATGGACACACTCGGTCCAGTGCCATCTACCAAGATCAGTGAAGCAGCTTCACCCGCGAAACAAAATGTCGCCACCTCTCTGATTGCCAACAACACTCCTATGGCCAGGGTCAATAGCCAATTGGGAGCTAAGACCGCGTCTCCTGCTGCATCAACCCAGCTGCTCACTCCGCAGTTGTCGTCCACCAAGGGACCGAAGCCTGCCGGTAAGGATGGAAAGAAGGATGTCGTCAAACTGGAGGATAGCGACACGAAGGATCCGTGGGCGGAGTGTCCCACCTGTCTTGACACAATTCACGATACCTTTTCAAACCTCGCGAGCAAGGATCTGCCTCACCTGGGTTATGATTCGCTCGAGGATTTCGACATTAGTGAAGCCACTCCGGTGGATGATGATTGGGCTGCCTTTGCCAGTCTGACTCCTCCAGATGAGGCTGAGGAGGCTGCTTTCTTAGAGAAGTTTTATGAGCCTTGGGACGACGAGTCTATTGCATTGGCTGCAGCGAGAATTCGCATCCCGCCTGAGATCCAGGTCAAGGGCAAAGGGCCTATGGGTCAACTTGAGGTTGATTGGGATGCTGTTGCGCGCTACGAGAGGGAAGGTATCCCCATTCGTATGCCGAAGTGAAATTCCTTGTTTGTATTGAAGGACCATGTACACATCATTCCATGAATATGGACTTGAGATTATGAAACATTTTATTTCGGCAGGTTCGTTTCCAGCGTATATATGGTTCAGGAGCGATGCGTTTGTACACTACGCAGGGTTCCTGGTTAATTTCTTTTGGAGATCAACCTTTTTGGGTTTTCTAATTATTTTGGACTTGGCCTCAGCGATGGCGTTTGGAGGAAAAAAAAATCTGAGATCAGGTTGACTGGATTTTGAAAATTTATTGAAAGGAGTTTATATACCAATATAATTCATGGTAGTTATATTATAATGTATACATATATGTAGGTACGCGTGAACATTAAGAGGTTGTTCAGGTGCCTGTGTACCGTGACACACCCGTTCCTTATCTCCAGCTGATAAGCTCTCTCACCTCCGCTTTGTCTCCTCACTTGGCCCTTGAACTTGGGTTCTCTTTGCTTGACACTTGGAACTTTTATCAAACTAGACAAGATGGCAAATAATGCCCTCATTCCATTCCTGGTCACGATGATGCTCGTGACCGGAGTATGCAACACCATTCTCAATAAGTATCAGGTCCGTCCTCGATTCAGAACTACAAAGGAAACACGAGCTAATCAGCTTATGAATAGGATATGCAATGTGTGCGAAACTGCGATTCTCCAGATCCCAGTCAGCGGAAGCTATTCGAGCAGCCGGTCATTCAAACGTAGGTTTCAACTCGTGTTTATGCAGCTTTGCAACATAAATGCTGACACCAGCCTGAAACACAGCGCCGTAATGTTTATCGGTGAAATGGGCTGTTGGCTAGTTATCGGCTTAACCTTCCTCTACCGCCAATACATCGCACCACGTCTATCCAGTGACCCCTCACCCCTCCTAACTGGCGGATATCACCCGATCAACGGCGACGACGAAGGCATCGACGAAGATGATCAGACGGTTGATGAACTGGATGGCGACAGCAGACACCCTAAGCCCCTGCATAAAGATGAAGGCCGTATCCCACTCCGTGGATGGAAGATCCTACTTCTTGCAGCGCCGTCGAGCTGCGATATCGCTGGCACAACCCTCATGAATGTGGGTCTCCTCTTTGTGGCAGCCAGTATCTACCAGATGACCCGGGGTGCGCTTGTCCTTTTCGTAGGCCTGTTCAGTGTCCTCTTCCTCCGCCGCCGGCTCCACTTATACCAGTGGAGCGCCCTCTTCATTGTCGTTCTAGGTGTGGCTATTGTGGGTCTTTCTGGAGCTCTATTCAGCGGTGAGCCGGGCCACGATATCAACCAGAATAACGTCGCTCGCACCCCCGAGGCTGTCCAGGCTATAATTGGTGTGCTGCTTATTGCTGCAGCGCAGATCTTCACAGCCACACAGTTTGTGCTAGAGGAATGGATTCTGGAGAATTACGCCATGGATCCGATCCAGGTCGTGGGGTGGGAAGGCGTGTTCGGTTTTTTGGTTACTTCCGTCGGCATCGTAATCATGTATCTTATTGTTGGACGCACCGATGCCGGCCGATATGGCTACTTCGATATCAAGGAGGGATTGCACCAGGTTTTCGATAACCGTGCTGTCGCCATATCCAGCTTGTTTATCATGCTCAGTATCGGGTATGTCTCTATACTTCCTAACTCCCTGTTCCCTGCTAACGTTGGTTCTAGTGGCTTTAACTTCTTCGGTCTGTCTGTCACCCGCACTGTATCCGCTACCTCTCGTAGCACAATCGACACCTGCCGCACGCTCTTCATCTGGATTGTTTCACTTGGACTCGGCTGGGAGACTTTCAAATGGCTCCAAGTTGTCGGATTCGCGCTTCTTGTCTATGGAACTTTCTTGTTCAATGACATCGTCCGTCCTCCGCTCAAGGCTTGTTTGCCCCATGACCGCAGAGAGGGAGAGGTGTTGCTCCCTGAAGGTCCCATTGAGCACATTTGATTAACTTGGCTTGTTTTGGACTCTTCGTATTATATACCATTCTGGTGTCTCGGTATATTCCAGTTCTGCCTTGGAGATTGGGCTCATGCCTTGGATTTTTGGATAAATCATACGACCTTGCATTCCTTTGTTTTCTGCGATGGAGTTAACTGTCTCTGTTTTTTTAAGGGATTATATACTGACTTTTGATCTTTTCTTGCGGAGGCTACAGTTGATCTGAATTCTCTGAAGTTATAGAACCTTGCCTTTTGTCGATTATTGCATTTTGATTTATGTTCTTGGGTTTAGTCTGCGTTATAGATGTGATAATGCACTTTAACATCTGCTATCTGATGAATACGTAGGAACACACTACTAGGACAACTTTCGTATGCGCCATGGACTACATGAACTCGATGCAATACTCCCTGCACTTCCTCATACGCTAAAACATTCATCTGAAGCATGTACAATAAGAAGAATCCCTCCCGCCAAGTAGTGAAACGAGATACAAGAGAAAAGGAAATTAATGGCAGAACAAAAGTCTAGATAGATAGCAAAAGCGAAGAAAAAGTGCAAGAAACTAGGGAGTATAGAACTGGATTTGACTGTTCATGGGAAAATTAAACATTCGTTCGGATGAGCTTTTAACATCACTGTCACTGATTTGATTTACGGCTCGGACCAGTCCACTTGGTCGGTGACGGGGTTTCCACCGTCGCGGGCAGAAGTGACACGAAGACGGAGGCGAAGTTTGGCAGGAAGACCCTGGAGGTAATAGGTTAGTTTGATACTCAAAATAAGGTAAAAATGTAAGACAGGAAAGGAAAACTGAGCATACCCCATTCAGAGCAGTCACACGCATTGATTGTGTACCCTCGTCACCGGCGTCTAGGTCAGCCTTGCTGATTGCGCTCAGCTGCAACCGCTGACTCTTTGGCACGGCAGCTTGCAGGCCGACGTTAGTGAATCGGTCGAAGTTGGAGGCGTTGCGGAAGCGGGCCAAGATCTGGGCGTTGTTGCCGCTTCGCTGAACTTGCAAGGTAAGGACAAGGCCGTCCTTGTTGAGCGCGGTGTGTGCAGGAGTCGAAGCAGTGACAGGTGCGGGAGAGGTGGAGGGCGAAGGCGCAGAGCCACCCATGGCTCCTGCACCCAGCAGATCCATCGAGGCAGACGCATGTTGTGTGGGTTGAGGGGATGGCGAAGCACCGGTAGAGCCAAACAGATCCATGATGGCGCTGTTCACGTTCTTTTGGCCAGAAGGCCCCGGCGAGGGAGATGACATGCCCGAGTCTCCGCCAAGAATGTCTGCTAGCAGATCGGCGGTGTTCGATCCGTTCGAGGTAGGGCTCACAACAGGGGCGTCGGATCCGCCAACCAGGTCAAGGAGCAAATCATGCTCTGCAGGTTTGGCGGCCTTTGTCGTTGACTTGCCACGGAGCACCTTACTCTGGCGTTTCTTAGCAGCTGGAGTAGCACCTAGTACCCGTTGTTCCTCACGGATCTCAGGTGCGGGCATCCGCTCGAGCACGCCACGGCGGATTTGATCGTAGCCGAAAAGGTTAGTGTATTCAACGGCACGCTGTTGAATTTCTACACTCAGGTCCGCGGTTCGGCTGGAAAGCAAACGGCGTAGGCGTTCGATTTGAGCGGGATCCGACATGCGCACGGTAAGCTTCATGGACGCGGTGATGATGTATTCGACAGCAATCTGGGAGGCGTAGGTGCTGTTGAGAATGTTGGTGAAGAGATCGACAATATCACTCTCCCGAACCTCCTTGACCAGTTCCTCTTCCTCGTACTGACCACCCTGAAGTAGGCTATCGGCATATTCACCAATTGTCCACGTAGCAGCCAGTGTGAGGCCCTCTTGGGAGATGTCCTCCTTTAATGACGAATAGAGCTTTTGTACCGCGTAGGTCTGCAGATCAGGGGTAGTCGCAATGAGACGGACGAATGAGGACAGGATCTGTTCTTTGACGTAGTTCCCAGCTAGCTTGAGAACCCGCAGAATAGTGTCCATGTGCCAGCGCTTGTTGGGTGCGAACCGATCAGCCGCGATGCCTATCTGTGTCGTCATCACGGACTTGAATTCGTTGTCGGCCACCTCCAGGAAGGCCAGCAGTTCCCGCACCAGCACCCGCACATTATCTTCGTTGATCAACATGAAGCTGAGATCGAGCGCTCGCCGGCGAATGCTAATATCAGGATCCCGCAGGCATTCCAAGATCGTGTTGCGATGTCTCTGCACCGCATTTGGCTCAATTGCAACAACCTTATTCAGAGTGTTCAGCGCAACGTAACGGATATTATTGTCCTTGTTAGCCAGGAATTTGCCGAGAATGTTGACGCCCAGCACCCTCAGACCAGAATCGGCTTCAATATCCAGAATCGTAAGAACGGCCTCATATAGAATAGAGTTGCCGACGTTCTTTGAGGAATCCGTGTTGGTGGCCACCTGGGCCAGGATGTCGTTGATCAATTCGCTGGTGGCCACATCTCCCCGACCCAATACACGCAAGAACCGAAGGATCTTGACTTGGAGGAAAGGATCTGTGATACCGGACACATCGTGCTCAGGCGCATACCCGGAGGTCGTCAACCCTTTCAAAGCGCGAACCAATCCGCCAGCCAACGGCCGGAACATTTCGATCACGCCCGTTGGTCCTCCTTCCTCTTCATCTTCTTCTTCCGCCTCACATAGATCAATCGCAAGTGTCAGTCCACATAGAAGAACACCATGGTTCCGGTCCGACAACAAGTTCTTTGCTTTCTCGAGGAAGTGCTCGTACAGGTCTGGAACCTTGCGACATATCCGCATGGCACAGATCGCTGCTTTCCGTCGAATATAGGGGTTGGCGGTCGACATAAGGGACTCGACTTCGGGGAACAGATCCCGGGACATTTCAACAGAGGCAATGTTTCCGAGGGTACAGAGAGCGAGGCCGACGATATATTGGTTGGAGTGGTTAAGATCACTGCATCCTTGTTAGCACAGAGTCAACCAGTCAACTACAGTGAGAATTACTTCTTCAAAGAATTGGTCACAAGTGTTAACACTTCTTGGTTCTCATCTAGCAACAGCATGGTCCCCAGATATCCCAACCGCTTGTCAGCGAATCGGTGTGAGGCAAGTAGTTTCAGACATTCGATTTGGCCGAAGTGAGTCCGTTCTCCGAGAGTGAACAGATACAGGAGCTTGGCGACATTATTTCTCCTATCAATTGTTAGAGATGGAGGAATCCATCAAGGTGGACGCTGAAGCTAACCGGATGCCGGAGTCATGACTCTCTTCTCGAAACGAGGCGCGAATAGCGGCGCTTTCTTTTTGGATAACTGCACGTTCATCGGCGATGGTCTTTGCTGATCGGACATTACGGATGAATTGTTTAACTGTAGACAAATTGGATTGCGTGGTCAGAGTGCATTTCAGGGGAGAGGAGGGGCGGCGGGCAGCACTTACGGGAAGACATGGCGGCCAGAGGGACCCCCGACGGGGCGAGGAGGAGATATATTCAATGGAGAAGAAGGGACAAAGTTAGGCGCAAGAAGGTAAACTAAGTACCGCACTCATAAAACCAATGAAACGAAGAAGTGTCAAGGCTTGTTGGTCTGGAGGTCTGGACTGTTGTATTATTATTCCTCATGGCAGTCGACCTGGCTTCTTGGCATGGGGCACTAGTATGTAAGAGGAATAGCTTGGCTACCCTGAATCACCTGACTCTTTGATACATACACCGCCTTTGAACAGACACCTAAGGCATTATTATGACATAAGTGGTCGATTTGGAAATTACAATGTACCAAGGAACAATACAGGAAGACATTAAAGGATCTATATATGCATGCTTCAAATATTATTGCAAGAGATAGACAAAGTAGAATATACATACATACAAATATGTTAGATATGGACCCCAACATATGAATATACTAAAAGTTTCCCTCCCTGAATATATCTGCCTAGTTCATATATTCAAGTTGTACTATAGTTATAAGGCAGTCTGACGTAGTGGCCCGTGAATTTTGGTTTCGAGTTTCTAGTCCAAACAAACCTTGGAAGCCAAAGCTGACCCCAACGCAATATTGGTTTCCAAGTTTCTATCTCAGCGTCTTCGATGTGCAAACCTCCCTGATTCTGCAAATTGTGTCCATATAGGATGTCTAGCGCCGTTTCCCAGAATGAATCTGCAACCCTGCGGCCGCGCGCCGTGCCGATACAGCCAGATGCAAAGTCCGACGTGGCTCTCCCCCTTCCAGTGGATAAGCTAGCCCACGATGCAAGGTAATTTGCCAACTTGCACCAGATTGGATTTAGGGCAATAGCTAATCTATTTGTCAAATTCGCAGTGGCCGCTCAACTCCTATTTCCGAAGATGCCCCCCCCTCAGCGCATTCAATCTCATCCGCAAGGAAGCAAGTCCGCGCTCGCAATCGCCTGTTCTATACTATAGACTATGTGCCTCGTGTGTCACATTTCGATCCCGACAGTGACTATCACAACTTCCGAGGGTTCTTTACTCTCTTTTGGATTGGCTTGGCCATCATGGTTGGGACCAGCGTATTGCGCAATATCAAGGATACCGGATACCCTTTACAGGTGCGCGTTTGGACCCTTTTGACAGCCAATGTGTGGGGAATGGCGCTCAGCGATGCGGCCATGGTGATGAGCTCAGCACTCGTCCTGCCTATGCACCGGCTGTGGCGGGGTGGTCCACAATGGCTGCGATGGTCACGCGGGGGTATGATCTTACAAAGCTTGGGTGAGGCATTTTGGCTGGTCATATGGATAAAGTAAGTTCCTGGCTTGTTTGAAATATAGAAGTCGGAGGACGGCTAACATCAAATACAGCTGGCCCTTTATGATGCAATGGACCTGGACTGCGCAGGTGTTCTTCACGCTGCACACTCTGACCATTCTAATGAAACTGCATTCATATGCTTTCTATAACGGACATCTCAGCGAGACAGAGCGCCGCCTTGCCTCCCTCGATAAGCCAGGCTCAAAGTCACCCGAGCCC